GTAGCTTATAAGCGTCGAAGTGCCAAATGACAATCCCTCTCTTTTCAAGAAAACCTTCCATCAATAGGGTTGAGATTGTCTAACCAACCTGATCAATCCCAAGTAAGCGTTCCTGATTATGGTGTTGATGTCTGACAGTCTGAGACATATCTGCTACTAAGTGCCTGCCACTACGCCAACATTGTCTGCCGCGAATTGGAACGCAAATAGCCAAACCCCATAATTTTGTAATTGTATATCTGCAATACCCGGGAATAAAGAATGTTATTCAATGAAAGAGCCTTATCGTGGAAATGCTGTGAATAGTTGACAATGAAGAGGCTGGGATGGAACAAGAGTATATAAGACTTGCAGATGCCTTGGCTAAACATCATTATCAATCACCCTACTTACAACAACTACCACTCATAATATCGACATCAAGACCACTTTTAATATAAGTTCATAATGATGACTACAAGTATGCATCTATTAGTCCTCCTTCCCTTGGTCCTTCTCGCGGTCGCCCTCCCTCAACCTCCCCCAAAGTACATCGGCTGCATCGCCCAAACATCAACCTTCTCGGCAACGACCCTCCCCTCACCTTTCAAAACTCATCAATGCCTTCAAGCCTGCGCCGCCAAAGGTAGCCTGGTCGCAATCGGTAGCGGAACATGTTACTGCGATAACGGTAGCGCATCTGCATCTTTCGATCTAGTCGATGAAACCCGCTGCACAGAGCTCTGTATCGCTGGCGACGAGACCAGCGGCAAATGTGGAGGACAAGGCGTCTTTAGTCTGTACCAGATCAACGACTGTGATGGTTGTTGTGCGAAGAATGGAACTATTCCACCCGTGGTGCAGACTCCCTGTACGCTCTGTGGACAGGCGACACTTGTTCCTACTCCTACAGAAGTTCAGAGGAAAGCTGGGAGTCCTTGCCCTTTTGAAGGATGCAAAGCTGCGCCAGCTCCTATCGCCACGCCTGCTGGAAACTCGACTGCCAAGATGTGCCCGTCTGGGGGATGCAGTTCCAATGGCCAAGGAGGGCAGAGCGGTAGTGGAGGAGCTGGTGGCCAAGGTGGAACAACAGATACGCAAAATGGATCTTCTGGTGAAGGGTCCAAGGCTGCTCCAGGGCTTGCGAGCGAGAGCCCAAGATTGTACTCACCAAGTATACTATCAGCTATTGCTGCCGTGATCTTTGGGCTGCGATTCCTATGAGGGAAACGAAGGGAAAGGGAAGTGGCTGGCAAAAAGGAGAAGAATGGGCACATTCGCTTGCATATTTTGGAGTTTAACGGCTGGGCATGATTCATGATTTGATGGACACGAAAACGGGAACGGAAACGAAGGATAGCTTGCTGACTTGTTATTACTATAAAATACCAACTTTGACAATATGCTACGATCTCCCAAATGAGTAGTGAGCCAGTAGAGGAAAGATATTGCAAGATTGACCTCCCTACGCCCTCGGTGCCTCAGTCAGTGGCACGTAACGAACTCCAAACAGCTTCTTCTTGGTGACCTCTCCATTTCCATCCTTCTCAATTCTCCAAACGTGCTGGTTGTACCCCATCTTGTCGTCATCGACAGGGATGAACATACTATAGCTTGTTAGCATACTCGCTCAATCAATACGATCTGACTTACCACCCTGGAGCCTTCAACTGCTCCAACAACTCGGGATGAATCTCCACCGCAGAAGCCCCGACATGAATGACATCCCAGCCTGTCCCCTCACTCCTCTCTCCCTCTCTCGGTTCCTCAACCCATCCTTTCCTCCCGTCACCAAACCTAAATCTCACCTTTCCACTCTCAAGCAATCTTCTTCCCTCCACACTCTTCGACATATTTGTCTCACCAAGTTCTTTCAGTTCACGAATATGCTCAAGACCGACTACAAGGCCCTTCTCACCAACAAGCTCCGCCATAACGTGAGTCAGATACCCAGATCCAGAACCGACATCTAGGACCCGAGGTGCCGGCGATGTCGATGAGGGGAGAAGATAGCTGAGAACATGCTCGATGGCTGAGGCGTGCATATGCGGTGCTGATATAGTTGCTGAATAACCGATGGGCTGGGGTGAGTCTTCATACGGCATTGCTGGAGCGTAGTGAGCTCGGTCAACCTGGATGATCAGTATGAGTTTTGAGACGGGGACAGGAAGTTTACCTTGAGGAATGCCTCTTTCACCCGAGAGTCGGTAATGAGACCGTTCTTCCACATGTTCTCAATAAGAGCCGAGTTGGTGTCTCCACTGCATGTCCACGCCATGTTGATACTGAAGAATCTTTGGTGTGTAAGTCGATAGGTCTTTCTATAGAGGCTAGAGGCAAAAGAGGGGAGATGGAATGATTTCTTGGTGAAAGCCACGATGACGGTGCGGATCTCAATGATGTGAGACGCTGTAGGGGAAATTAAGATGCAAGATTGATGATGAGCAAGGCTTTACTGATTCTGGAGAGGAAGGCGTGAGTTGTAATGTTATCATCATATCGGAAGGTACGCAAGGTAACCCGAGCTGAAGGCTGTGCGGGGCCGTTCCGTAATACGGGGATCAGCGACGGGTAACTCCACAGACCAAATCACCACTGACATTCACTAACAGGGGCTTTAATTTGCGAGATCGTTCACTACCAGGATAGTAGACTAGGGAGGAGGATGATCCGGGAATAGAGGTTTTGATCCTTCGTATCGGATTTACAATAATTTAACTGAAGGACAGAGATCGAGAACAGGAAGAACGAAGACCCTTCTCTTATTCATCACGAGCCCTTTTAAATCTACGGTTCTCAGGCAGCCAATCGTAAATACAACCAAAATCATGTTAACAGACAGATATAGAGACGTATGAAACTGCGTGTGACGCGCCAAACACTAAGCTTGTAGTAGGAACCAAAATATCCTTCCCATCCATCCACCCAAGAAACGCCAAAAGGAAAAGAGTTAACGCCTACGTCTCTCGACTGATGCGCTTCCATGATATAATGGTATTGTTGTACATGTTCAAACCCGCTAATTTAGACTACTCGCTCGTTCGACTCTCCCTCAGCGATGATTGGTACGCCAAGACCGCGATCAGGGCTCTGGAGGACGAGCTGCTCGTGACGTCGTGCTCGTAGAAACTCGGCGACGCTCTTGATAAGAAGGAACCAGCCGACCACCATGAGCACGTATCCTAGCCACTCGCCTCCACTAATGCTGCCGAGATCGTCGTCTGTTACGTCGCCTTGCTTGAAGTTGTGGGAGTTGGGATCGGGTGGTGCGGCGTAGCCATCGGGGCCGCTCATCGCTGGGGGTTCGTCTTCTGACACGCCTTTCATGTAGAAACCGTATTGAATAAGAGTTATGCCGAGACCAGCGCGAGAACCGTTCTTTGCAGCGTGGGTTGAGTGGAGAAGATATGTAAGGAGGAAACCGACGAGCTGGAAGGATGTCGAGATCATTCCGTTCCAGACAAAGGAAAAGAACGAGCCAACTGGCATGCCGTCGATGTAAACCTCGTCAGGACCTCCCATACCGGGAGCGAGGATAGTCGTCTCCCAGTATGGAGGAGCAGCATCGGCCGCAGCTTGTTCGTAGGACTATTAAAGTTAGCGACACATACCCGAAGGATGTTTATTTGGACAACATACCGGTGGCAACTCGTCTTTCTCAGGATCACTGTTCCCTCTCTCTGGGCGCGCAGACAAATTGGCAAAAACACCATCTGATCCAGAACCACCTCCTACAATTCTCGTTGACCTTGAACCGGACGGCGTTGGTGCCGGAGCAGCCGGTTGAGCAGTTGTTGGTATTGTGTTGACATTCTCCATAGATGGCGTCGAGTTTTGTCGCATCAATCGCCTCCGGTCATCAACCTCATCGTCGCTATCGTCATCATCGTCAAAGGCATCGGCGAGAGTAGCATCGACCTGGCGCGTTGGTTGAGGAGAAGAAGATCGAGAGTGAAATGAGGGAGGTGGCGAGTGGGGGATTGGATGAGAGAGATTGTTGTTATTGGTGTTGTTGTTGTTTCGGGCGTCAAAGTCCTCCTCGTCTTGACCGTTAATCTGAGACCTTGTTAGCATGCTCAAAACACCGCTGCTGATCGCGCGACTTACTCGTTCGTATCGTCCGGACATGATGGGCTAATCGTCTGGCGGTGTCGGGCTGCCTCCCGAATCCGCTTACCAAAAGGAAAAGATACGCGATGTCGTAGGAAGAGGAGAAGGAAGATTGAAGAGACTCGGGAACGAAGTTAAAAGGCAGAGATGAAACCAGCGCGAGAAAAAAAGGAAAAGAGGATCTTCAAGGAACGACGGCGAAAGGGTTTAGTTCTGGGTTTTGGGTGTGCTTGCGTTGACTTTGAAGTTTGACGATTACGAAACAGACAGCGACAGGACGGGAGGAGAAAGCCTGCCTGGGGCGAGCACCTTAGTCGATATGCGGACGGCGGCTGTATTCGGATTCGGTATCGACACAGTGTAAAATGGAACAGGGGATGGTCTAGAGGGGTCTTCAGGGGTGATGCGCCGAAGTATCCGCCCACTGAAACGCCGTGGCGCACTGTGATGTTACTTTGGCTTACGGAATCTTTTCGTTCATAGGTGGGCAGCCCCTAATCAAAGTTCAGGGGCACATCAACAAAGCCAGATCTGAAGATGTTCTTGAGCGCGAGTCTATGATGGAACATCGTGGAAGAATGACAAAAGAACTTGATTTATTCTTTGTATGACTCTTGACTTGAACTTGCAAGTGGGCTGTGTCAAGTAGCGTTGGATCCACCTCCACATTGAATCAGATCACGGGCTTGTCCTCATCTGGTTGAAGAATGAATGAGGCAATCCATTTCAAGGGTCTGTGGCAGCCTGAGGCAAATTGCGCATGACACCAATCATATGTCTTTCAATTACAGTCTCACAAGAGATCAACACTGTGACGGGCGCACTGTCTCATGGAATTTCTCGATGGTTGACGTCGAGATATCCTGCTGCAGAGAGATCCAGTTCTAGCAACGGCATCTTCACAATTCACAATGTCGCGATCATTATCTGTAAGTGACTGCCTGCTATAAAAGTACAATGACTAAACATTCGCTTTTTCTTTGTAGCAAAAAATCTACTCCGACGTCTTTGCGCGCTGGCCAAAGCAGGCCCTTCGTCCCGATCACCAACTCCAAGATGTCCTAGGCAAAGCCGTAACCGAGCGATTCCAGAACCATAAGCCCTCCATGGAGCGTGAGGAGCTTCTTAAGGCGCGGGCGCTACAATTCCTTCTCCAAGACCGATATAACGATCGAGTACGTACCATGATATAGCGAACACAATCCGGTGCTAATAAAAGTACAGTTCAAGCTCAATGGTAGATTACTCGAGCCAAAGAGCCAACCGACGTATTTTGCGGATCTAGTGAGGGAAATCGACGAGGCGCCGAACAGATCATGGTTGGAGAGATTAGGCAAGCGATTAACAGGAATGATCCGATTCCAATAATTGATGGACGAGAAAACGACTTAATGCATGGAAAGGGTCCTGCAGAAGGACATTGGCATCTGACGTGTATATGTATTGTACTTGTACATTGTATCAAAAGCGATTCCCCATATTTGTTCATGTGCCCATATTCAACGCCCTCTAGATCGCTCAGCCCTGTCTAGATGTACTTCTCATCCGGATCTATCTTGTTAAACCACACTTGGATCTGCTCATATGCAGTAAACACCAATCCTCCAGAAACTACCAATCTCGCCAATCGCGGCAGCGCACCGCTCCAGAACGTCAAGACACCCTCCTGCTTGAAGATAGTCGTCGCGCACTTGAAGCTGTTGCCATATGTCTTTTTCGCCTCGATACTCTGCATGCGTGTCTTGATAGTATCGAGCGGTTGTGTCACATATACAGTGATCAAACCAGCCAAACCACCAATTGCAAAGGTACCAACGGCACCAAGCTTCTCGCCAGGCGCCGTGTATGACTCGGCCATTTGCTTGAAGAAGTTATAGGCGGTGAAGCGTGTTGCGCTGTTGGCTGCTTGTCGAGCGGTCGTGGGGACGAATCCTTGGAAGAAACCTCGGAGACCACGTTCGCGGGCGATGATGGGGACGGCGTGCAGGAAGCCGCGCATTCGAGGCTTAGCGGACTTGCGGTCATCGATACTGCGATTGTAAGCTTGGATCCTGAGGGGGAAGAAGTCAACTTACAGAGTGGTCTTGATACTCTCGGTGGGAGTCACAGCAAGCAATGACTCTGTGACCCCAGCACCGAAACCAGCAAGGACAGTACGAGGTCCAGAAAGATTGCCATTCTCATCGACTAAAAGCGCCTTGTACTGATCAAACGCAACGAATCCTAGCGATCGTCAGTCAATGCGACACACACAAGCTCGGGAAACAGCATACGGATTCCAGCCTTGGCTGCGTTGCCAATGATGAGAGTGGTGCATCCAGCATACCACTGCTTGCCGAAAGGCGGCCAAGGGAGCTTCTGTCCCTCAGCTAACCGCCTGTTCAACTGCGACCTTGTCTTTGCAACTACACCAAATCAGTATTCTAGGTCCGTATCGACTCGACGCGTGAGTAAACGTACACTCAGCGGGGTAGGTAATAGCTATACGACAGCTTGGTTAGCTACATCTTCAGAGTCATGCCGTGTGGACATACCAATCTCAATGGCGCCGGCAGTCGATCCAGCGATGATGGATCGCAAGGGTGTGGGCTGCTTCTTCTTTTCGCCTGTTTGTGTTGTCGACGCCATGATTGCTGTCCTGCCCGGTTATGGTCTGCAGGTGATGTTGGTGTTGACGGGAGTGGGAACTTTTTTTGGGCGTGGGACGGGATGGATTTCGTCACTTTTGGCACAGATGGGAGCTGTTGTAATTTACACGTGCGCCGATGTCGCTGTAGTGTAAGTGTAATTACAGTGGTTGGCTGATGGACACGGGCGAGTGATGGAGTACTCCGCATATGCTTGGGCGCTGGGAGCAATCCGTTGAAACAGCCACGGATGCCTCCTTATTTTAGTAACACATCCAATAAGGAGTGCTAAGTAAAGGGATAGCTACAGTTTATTTCAGATTCAAACTAAAATTACGCCGTTGTTAAGTTCCAACCCGTCGGGTGTTACTGAGTCGGCATATCACGGCCCAAGTCAACTTCAACCTCGGCGTACGTTTGAGGCGACGGATACACGCATTGCTCTAACGACGGCCCAGATCTTGTTTCTTTATGAGACCGCATGAATAGTTACGCAAAGGCGCTTACGGCTTGCATACGTGTGGCGTTTCTGTTGTATGAGAAAAACGTAGCTTATTGCCTATAGGACAGTCCGTCATCGTTGGACTACTTGGGCGAAGATGGTGATGAAGTATGGCAGTCCTTCAGGAAAGCCTACATTAAACAAGACAAGGCATGTCGCACCAAGGATTTCCTACCGGCGCCGGAAGCTGTTATGGAGCATTTTGAATCGCTGTGTTCTGAGATGGAGGAACGAAGTGAAACGTCTGGAACCTGTGCAGGCTTGTGAGCATATTCGTTGCGAGTAGAAGTTTATGAATTTTCCTACGGTAGCCTAACCATTGCAGTAACACTTCATCTAAATGCTGACCAACTCCACTCATGCTTCATTTCTCATACCTGTGTACTCATGTCGATCCTACTAAATAAGTTCTGTCCGCTGATTTAAGCTCTCAGCCACAAGCCTCGATCCCATATACTTCGTCCTACCCCATTTCTGCTCCAACCCAGCCTTCCACTCGTTGAAGCTGGCCACCTTGCCATTAACCAACAATATCTCTCCCCTGTGCAATACTCTTTCCAACGAGGGTACAGTAAACCACTGATGATCACTCCTACAGATCAAATCATCTCTATGATCGCTCGTCTTGTTCCCCTCGCCCTTGATAACAGACATACACTTTGCATCGTACGTCTCCATGCAGTACTCACAGATGTAGTACTCATCCGAAGGAGGGATTAGATCGAGACACTGAGCGCAATTTTGGCGCATTGTTTGGATTTCTGGGAGTTTGGGCTCGATGCGTGAAAGGACAGGTGAGTCTTCTGGGGTAGAGGTGAAGACTTTTGGGTCGACTTTGCGCATGGACTGGCTGAGGGCGAGAGCGTTCTCGATGTCGTCGGCGGCGATGAAGAGGCCGAGGAGGTTATCCAGGGCGTATTCGTCATTTTGGACATCGTCGTCAGAGAGAATGTCAAGACTGTCGTTGATGAGTTGCCGAAGATCGCGGTCTGTTGAAGAACTTCGACCGAGGAGGCGATTGAAGAGGATCATGTAGATGGCTGCGATGTTGACATCTGAACCAACCATCTCGATCGGCATATCCTGGTTCTGATGCCGACTTTGCTTCTGCTTGATCTTCTCAAGATCTTCGAGCCAAGTGTCTGCTTCAGGCGTTCTTAAGCCGGCATGAAGAATGCGCTCTTTGTACAGAGAAGCAAGTTTCTGGAATGCGAGAGCATAAGCCTGTCGCGTGGGAACGTTACCGCGAGGCCGGTATCCAAGTTGTGTTATACTCTCGAACAAATCCAGCGCAGAATCGATATCGCGACTGTACGTGTACGTCGCGCCAAGTGCGAGACGAAGATACAGCGCTTTGAGGGGATCGCGAGTTGCGGTTGCGACCTCAATCGTGAAGAGAAGAGACTCGTAAATAAAGTCTGTTTCACCCATTTTGCTAGCTGCCTTGGGGATCCAGTCTATGACAAGAGGCTTGTTATGGAACTCGAGCAAAAAGTCAACGAGTCTTGTGCGCTTGTGTTCTGTATCAGTGACCTCTTCTGAGAGTTGTTTGAGGAACTGAATGACAGCTTCATGGCGGTTCTCAGTGGCCACTAGCTCGAGATATCCGAGTTCAGGCTCGAAGTATTCCTTGCATTCTTTGCGATCCAGACCGACCAATTTGGCACTCTTCATCGCTTTGACGAAGTATTCAAGTGCTTGGTCAACTTTGTGGAGTTCTTCGTAACAAGTGGCTATGAGAATGTGATCCTTGTACAGACGCCATTTGCAGCTCTTCAAGGCTTGCTCATCAAGCTTACCGCTCGCGATACTCTCCTCCTCAATCGCTTCGCACTTGAGAGTTTGTTCCAGAGCCTCTTTGAAGCGACCGTCACGCGAAAGACAGTATGCAATACGACCACGTGTCTCGACACTATTATTGTCGAGGGCAAGAGCCTTATCGTAATGTCCCAGCGCCTTATTGTGCATGTCATTCGTGAGGTATGTGCTTCCGAAGCGACGATGCCAGTGGGCACTCTCTGGGATCTTTGCCCATTCTGCTGCTTTGACGATTCGGTTCTCGACAGGGATCTCAGTCCAGTGGGTGTTGCAGTCGGACCAAGAGTAGCCCTCTTGCATGAATGCGATGGACTGGACAATCTTGAAGCAGAAGAGGGTGGGGATGTATTTCTTGAAATCTTCTGAGAGCCACGCTCGAGCGTAGAGGTCTCCGATGGGCTTGAAGATACCGGGGGATTCCTTAACGCCTTTGCTAGCCCATTCTCGAGCTTCAGGACTGAGGGAGGATTGGACATCGGGATCACCCATCCAGCGCTTGAGACCTTTCATGTTGGCATCTGTAAGGACATCAAGACCCTCGTCGTTCTTCTCATACATAAGAGTCCAGTCGAGAATTGTGTTCTCATCAGTGAGCATCTTGTGCACATACTCTCCAAGCTTTTTCTTCTCGGGCGCAGGCACTGTCGCGGGATCGAGAACAGCTAAATGCTCCTGCCAGTACCACGCGGCGTACTGCTTCATGGATTCTCGCCCACTAGCGCTGAGCCGGTATTTCTCAAAGGCGGTCTTGTTAGTGAAGATGGATAGACAAGTCCTGAGGATGTGAATGCGCGAAATGAGGGGATCGAAGCCAATGCCCGCACCGAGCTTTGAAGAGTTTTGTGTACTGAAGAACTCCTTGACGGAAGAGTGGAAGAAAGTAATCCACGTATTTGTCTTGCTCGATCGGAAGTCCATTTCACTCATGGGGTCAAAAAGGTCGGAGTTAGCAGCTGGACTCACGCCACGTCCAGGGCTTACTCGCCCAGGACCCAAAGCCTGGATCGGGCTCGTGCGACGCAGAGGAGACAAGTTTCGACCCAGGTCGGGACTCCGGCCGAAGACTGTTGGACTCTTGGGACTTCCACTTCGGCCTGATCCTGGACGACTCGCTGAACTTGAACGCCTTCCGGAGCCGAGATCGCCGTTCTTAATGCGCTGTTGCTTCTCATGCTCCCGAATGAGATCGTCAGTTGTTAAACCGTCTTCGCGCTCGAGTTCGAAAAAACATGCGTATTGACCGCGCAGGGTTTCTTCGAGGTGGAAAGGAGGATCCCCGAAACGCATGATGAGGACTGCTTCCAACTGCTCGAGGGATAGAACCTCTTCCGCGCATGCGACCCACTGGAGCATTTCGTTCAAGTCTCTCGTCTGATCTTCATATAGTGTCTCCGAAAGGTTCTTGAGCGTTTGCCCAATGATACCGCTGATCTCCTTTGGATATGACTGTAAACTGGTGAGGATGCTTTGGGGATGCCGCTTACGACTAATATCCTCTAGCATGAACTTTGCGAGAATGAAGAGACCGTCGGCTTGCTTAATCATGGCGTCAATGATCTTTTGTCGAAAGTCGGGAGGTGTGCGGCTCAGGTTACGAAGGTGCCAAACGCTATTCTCGATGTACAACTTGACATCCTCGGCATTGCGATCGGGCGTGACGTGAAGGGTTGTAATGACTTGCGTTCCCCTATTTCCTGGATCGAGGGTATATGTAACAGTCTCAGTCATGTACGTTCTTCCAATGAGAGCAACTTGGAGCGTGACATGTTTTGGTCTCTTGTCAGACTCATCATCCGAGCCCATTTGCTGGAGTAGTTCCTCGACTTCAGCAGAATCCGCCTCATCGATACCATCGAGGAAGATGTAAATCTCTTTCTGTTGTTCTTCTTGCTGGAATGGCTGGACAAAGAGTTTTCGGTAGGCGCTGGGGATGGTGCGGATCTCATCGATGCTGCGAAGATTCTTGAGAAGCTGTTTGGCGTAAAAGGGATCGCTTTCGCTTAGTTGGTAGGCGAGATCACGGAGAGCTTGGAGAACTGAACGTGTCTCGGGATTGTTGTCTCTGAAGTAGAAGTACGCAAGTCGCGAGATATGTTGTGTTCCCCAGGACACGAGTCTAGTGGTCAAATACGACTTGCCAGTTCCTGCGAGAATGTCAGTTGGCGTTCAGAAATTGAGGTCAGCGACACTTACCGGCTGCGCCTGTAATCCAGAGGAAGTTGGTCTTCCTTTCGAGCCACGCTTTGAATCCACCATCTGTGAGGATCCAGTCTCCGGTAGACTCCGCGCGTGACTTGTTGAACATGGCAAAAAAGTCCTCAGGAAACGGCGAAGGGTCTAGAATCTCCTTAAGTTTATCCTGATGCGCTGCGATAGTACGCTCACGGCCTTCCGACCTCATCTGCAACATTGTTTGGTTCATCTCCTCAAGCTTACTCTGCATATTCTCCGTCGTGAGATTGAGCTTGTTCACACCTCCATAAGTATCTGCAAGAACCTGCCTCTCTTCGCCAATGTTAAGAGCCTTGAGCTTATCGAGCGCTTCTTGCACAGGCGTCCCTTTGCCGAACAAGGTACGGAAGTAAGCCTTGAAGCGACCGCGACGAACCTCCTTGGCAGCCAAGACGAATACTTCAAAAAGTTGCGCCAGAATAGTGACGACCTTGTTTCGCAATGCATTTCCCATCTTATACTGCACATAAACGTCCAGTCGCGATGTAAAGTCCTACAATTGTCAGTAAAGCCTCAAGCGGGGTTAATCGACATCACTCACCTTCAAATGTTCAAATAACTCAACGATCGTATCATACGCTGAGGAAACATCTCTCGCTGCTCCAATGAGATACGCAACAGCGCCAAAGATTCCCTCCGCTGGCGCAAATGAGTCTGCCGCAGCACCACTCACGATCTCACCGATGACTTCAACGGGCGTAAGGCAAGCCGCCATAGCGCTAAATATTGATTGCCGCTTCTCGCGGAATTTAGTAAACTGATCATTCTGCTTGTCAACTTGCTTGATTAGGTCTGTGACGTTGTTTATAGGCGGGTCAAGAAAATCGCCGAGTTTGTCCTTGGAGTCGGAGGAGTACAGCTTGCTAGCATCGTCGAGGATTTGCGCAAACTGTGCTTCCGCTGTGTCTTTGTCTTTGCGGACCGCCATGATGTCTTTACGGCCCTGAAGAAGATCTTTACGAAGAAAAAAAGGGACTAGAATGAAAGAAGTTATGGTGCAGAAGAGAGGTGAGTATAAGAGACGGTTGGCGTTTCAGAAATCAGGCTGAGATGGAAGCGTTCACGCTATGACTCGTAACCAACGAACTTGGCGGGGGCCAAAACGAATGATCGAAAACTGAGGTATCAAAAGAGTCCAAACATTAATCCTTGTAAGCCTGTAAGGGTCCGAAAATGAAAGGAGGATCTGGTTGCATTTGCTGCTTACGGTGCATATTATACCATGCCTCTGTTGGTAAGGCTGAGCTGCGTGGTAGGGCGATCTTTGGGCTGTGTTGTTGTAAATCTGGGGCTACTTCTTGGCTATCGACTGAGGGTTCGGAAGACGGCATTTTCGAGAGTTGAAATGCCAATCACAAACATTTCAAGTACATAAAATAATAAGGAACGAACGTCAGCCTCGATGTGTCGTTAGGCGCTCGTCATCAAACGGGAGGCGTTCAGCCTGAGACGCTTGCTCATTGAATGGTTTCACCGTGTGCCTTGTAATTCTCCCCACAATCCATTCACATACATGGGGGCTTGATTTGTAACGTGACCATCATTTGTGACTGGTTTGTTGTCTGGATGCGTAATAGAAATGGTTGATCTTTACACTTGCTGTTAGGCAGCAATCTGTTACAAGCCATTGATTTAGGTACCTAGGTAGGTAGTTTAGGATGCTCGCCCTTTCAGCCTTGTCTTTAAGGTGAGAAAGCGATCGTATCGGCACCACTGAGCCTTCAGGTCATTGCATAAGGCTGGGCTACGAAGCCATCCGAAAGTGGACTCAAGATACCACCGTAACCCTCCTGGCGGCCCGTCCCGTGTTGCCTCCTCTGCCCGTACTTCAACCTCGACTCTCTACGGAGTAGCTACGGTGAGATAAGCTCTCGATTGACCTTAGGGTTCCTCACACACCATATGGCGTCGTTCCCAACATCAAGTAGCCGCCTCAAGAACGAATACTGTTGTGAACAACCGTTTTTGAACTTGCACACCTATGCATCTGCTCGGTTTAGCAGTCAATGGCTACACAGTTCCAAGGCGAATTTTGAATAGGTTCAAGTAGCGATCAATAGGCAAGGGGAATGATGAAGGCATGATAATATATTGTATGAGAAATACCGGGCATTGCTTATGGTACGAGATTTATCTTTATGTTGGACAAGATGCTTGTGATTATTACTTATGATTAATAGGACATAGCGCGCGGTATTACAAGAGTCATGATAGCCTAATATAATAAGAATGCTAAGCTAGAATATTACAATATACAAGTCTCTTGAGCGCTGGGCGACAGAGTAAGTTACAGGTTTAAACGCCAGGGTACACGCTGTGTTACGCGACATGATATATGGAAGCCACCCCAGGCAGCAATAGCCTTTATTACGCGGCCGCGCATTTAAGCATTCTGGCGAGATCTCTCAACCGAGGCATTCCAGTGTCCTTAATTCAGCAGTAAAAATATCTAAAAGTTATAAAAATGGTTTAAAAAAATGGTTTGCGTCTCTTTGATTACATGTGTCATCCTTAGTGCAGGGGCCATGCTACTATAGAACTGTTAGTAGGTGCTCGAACGCTGGAACTTAGGGGGGATTGCTCTTACATCTTCTCTGTATTTTTTCAAGTTGGACCATAGGCCAGCGGTTTTCCCGCTGGCAAAAACTCTAGTATAGAGGTAGGTTATATAGCCTTGGAAAGTAAAGCATTTTTATTTAACATTTTTACTTGCATATATTCCTACCATTTCTTAATTGAAAAGTAGCCATAGATACCTGCCTTGCTGAGGAGTTGCTTAAATCCGTAACAATCTCTGACAAGTTGAATGAGATAATACTAAGGTAGCCAAGTTATTCATGTGTCTTCTCTCACGCACAACACCCTGAATTGGTGGCGGGTATATCTTCTATAAAGTGAAACTTGAAGATTGAGTGTATAGACGTCTTTTATTTGGTTATAATTATAAGGAGAGTATTAACTGGGTATTAGTATAGGAGGTCTTGTGCTTGCAATCGAGCGAACTTGCAATGAATCAACAAGAAAAGAGACAGTAGCTGTGCAAAACGATAAGTAGTAATTCGCGAGTATTTTGGTGGTTGTGCCCTAAAACTCCTCTAAAAGCTTACGGGGCTTTAGGGTGATCGGCGGGGCATAAACAGGCAGCCAGCTGGGACGAGCTGGTTCAAGAGATAGATGTATTAGCCGGTGAACCCAATGACAAAGGGCATTTGATCTGATGATGAAATACATAGTAGGCAATATTCCGGAACATGAAAGTATCGATCAAACACAAGCTAGAACATAAGCGACAATGCTTCCAGGCGTTTCCCGAGTAACCCCAAGCAGCCCAGAATCCGACTCCTCCCACGACGATGCAACAATACAGCGAGCTTTCCCTCCCTCAACTGCCTCATACAATTGAGCGACGGCCAAGTCAAGAATCCAGCCGCCTTCGCCATTGTCGCGCTTCTTTCGCGCTCCATCTATAAGCTCACTCGTTGTTTGTCTTCTGACATCCCATTCACTTCCTGTTCCCTTCTGAAAAGCTTCCAAGAGCTCGTTCTGACATGTTTTGATGGAAAGCACTTTGACGTGTTTATTCACTGTTTCTTCAGGGCGTTGAAGGACTCCAATTACCGACTGACCTATGCCTTGGAGAGTAGTACCGGTGAAGTACTCTTCGCCTTGATCATAGATAATTGCACTGCGATTCTTGATGTCGAATCCCATAGTAGGGAACCGTTTTAGCGCCCAGTCAATGGGGTTGCCAGTCGCGATACTGGTCCAAGTAAAGTTGGGGTTCGCAGCAGCATGCTCTTTCGCACGATCGACACCAACAGTTCGCTGGGCGCGCACTGCTTCAAATTCAGGATAGCTTCTGAACTCTGGACCCCAGCCGTAGTCATCCGTGAGGAAGCGTTTGACACCAGCGGCGAGAGCAGCGTCAATCATGGTCGCTTGCAGACTGATGCCGGCTGGACCGACAACACATACAACTGCGTCCTGACCAGACAGAGCTTGGGTAAGTGCATCTAGGGTATAGTCTGTTCTGATTACGGGAATTCCATCTGGAAATGTGGACTTGGATTCAGTTCGGGTGATGATAGTGATATTGAAGCCTGCTTTAGTGAGAGCGGCAGTGATGGGGGTGCCGAAGTTGCCAGAGGCCTAGCTGTGTTAGTGGATACACTACTGCACCATGGATGGATGTCTTACACCAAAGATGGCGACTGTCTTAAGTTGGGTGGCGGACATTGTATGGGCTTAGTGAGATTGTTGTGTGTAAGTGAATGTTTCAATGAATGAGAATGTCTCGATTTGGTTGACTTTATCCCCAGTGCAGCCCCACCAGGCGGAATTCCGCCCAGGCTAACACTACCTGGCTGAAGCTGCCTTGAACATTCGATGAGAGCAATTCTACCAAACCCAGCGGAGTAAGTAAAACTTAGGATCTCTATCCTAAATGACGAAATGACTTAGTTGAATTTAGTATATGCTGGTAAACTTTTAGACCATCTTATTTTAACACCTTCATTTAAATTCAGTTTTCTTAATCCCCGAGGGCATCCAGCCTATCAATTCTCCTTTGATGGCTTCTTTCCATAGATGGAATAGCTAATTTGCAGTCAGATATGTTCTCGTGAAGTTTGAAGCCAACTTACAGTGGCCAATACGCATGAGTGTTTCTGTCAGCCATCGCCTTCCGTTGATGGACTAGCCAGAGATTCACTTCCTCAGGTGTCCATCCGTGAGCACGAGTCAATGGTGCCATAGTGAAGGCCTCAAGACCGCAAGCCATATTGGTATAGCACCAACTTCCGAGCAACTTAGCCTTCTTGTCTCGGGGCCAAGAGTTGATTGGCCACTTGAACTTCTCAATAACGACATCCTCAAAGCCGATGTCCCTCATCATGTCCACGAGAGACAGGATATCGAGGTATGGTCGGCCAAACATGACAGACGCTTCATTCAACAGGGCCAGAGACTTGAGCATAATATTGTTTGGGCTGAGACTGCCGTCATCGGACTTGATGTTTACGTCGACTTCTTGGATTTCGAGATATCCACCAGGGACAAGGTTGCTGGACTTATGAGCATGGAACATAAAAGTCCTGACTCGTACTTACTTAAAGCACTTGGTCAAATATTCGCCCCAGTCTGAAATGCAGGATGTCATGACACGACTGTGGATATAGTCAAATGGCTGACTGTAAGTCCACTCATCTTCGATATCATCGATGACAAAGTTCACGTTGGGTGGGACGCTACAATCGTTAGTGAAAGCTCATGCATACTCATACTTAGTCATACAAGTCTGGTTGGATTGGCGATAGATCAACACCAGTTACCTAGACATCATGTTAGAAGACAAGCAGTTGCCCTGAGAGGGCAAAGTTACCTGAGCTTCAGGGTGTTCATCTGCATAATCGATAGCCCAGATGCCAGTACCTGTCCCGACATCCAGAACATGCTTGACATTGGCATCTGGTTTGTTTGGCGGTGACAAGCCGAGTTTATCGTCAAAGGTGAGCAGAAATAGGTTATGTTGAAGATCTTCGGTGATTAGCATCTATGGTTCCCTTTTTGAAGGTGGCTTATCATACCAAGCCTCTCATTTTCAGCCTCATCATTTGGCAAAGCATATTCTCGAATAATGGGTTAGCATCCGAGCGTCGAGTATGACCATTGAGAAGTCTTACTTCCATCTTTGTAGGCATGATATGTCCTGCCATTCTCTCGGCGATAATTCAGGATCGAGCTAGAGACACTGGCGGTAGAAGACTGAAGGTCCTACAAATCGTTAGTCTACAAGGACTGTATTTTCTATATCCATAAGGATCGCAAACCTCGCCAAGGGAAGAGTCAGTATCCTCAGTCTAGTGATAGTCAGATATGCCTCCCTGTTTATGTCATCTCCGCTTACAACGTCGTCAGGCACGATGACTGCTGGATCGACTTCCTGAGTTTGAGCCATATCGAAGTAGAAAAGGGGTATTGGTTTGTGGACTTTGACAAGAATCATATCAGGATCTTTGGTCGCTTTATATGTTGGTCGTTCCCTGTCCTCGGCAAACTGCATGTTACTTGACTTCCTAACACGGATTTACCCGCTGTACCATCGGCCCATCGGAAAGGCATATGATAACTTCCAAACCAATGATGCTTCATAGAATTTTGTTAACCCTATTCAATTCATATCAGTGTTGTTGACGTGTCATACTACGCCGCAAGTTGGGAAATTAGGGTTGAACACAGTTCACGTGTATTGTAGCACCTTTTGGACCTGTATATGTTCTTCCCATTTGATCAAGGCCAAGTTATACTATAGAAACTCTGGGGGAGCGCTGATAATGTAGCGATAGTTCAATCTGCATTACGCTGAGAGGATGAAGTCTTGTTGACGCACGTAGAAATCGGAGGACAGATAAACGCCTCTCAAAATTGAACTTATTCGTAAAATTTACTTAAAACATTATGTATCTCGCATAATTACCTACACAAATTAAGCCTTGTTCGATAAATTAAAGTGAGAGAAACGTAGGATCGCATAACTTGTTGCCAAGTAGTTGGTTACCGGCTACATGTTGTTTGAGAATTATATCCGGGTTTTATGGAGTCATATGTGTATCCGACCCGAGAGAATTCCTCACTGAGGAGTTTCTTTTTGTCTTCATATATCTGGATCTGAAGAGTTTTATGCTTGCATTTCCAATTCCTTCTAGAGTCTTTAATCATAGCGGAAGGCAATCGAATCATCGTCAGCTACCGAGCTTAGAGCTTGACTGCCCATAACACAAGTGACCAGCCTTGCCAGACTTTAGTTTCTGCTGTTTATCATCATAGATTATAAGGGAGCTAACGTAATGTCTGGCCTGATGGGTTGCTTGGACTACCTAATACTGTTTGGGTGGCATTTTGTGAGTCCTGATTAGGAGAGAAGAAGCTTTGCGAAGAACATGAGCTTCACTAGCTAATCACATAATGAAGTAAATAGAATACATATAACAACTACTCTATATATTTGTTTAAATGAGGGGCCTTGTCAGTTTCGAATGCCACAGTCGGCCCTTGAGTAAGCAATAAGTCAAACAAGTGGTATCTAAGTCGTTGAATAAGACTAAAGATAGCTTTTAGCCTAAATGGAACGAGTAAGTTTTATTCCAAACAACAGCTAAACGGGTAACATGAATAACATAAGTCAAAATCATCGGTTTCTTTGATGATTGGACGAACAACGAGTTTTAGACCTACAAGCGGTATGTTTGGGGGTTGAAAAATTTAGAAGATCCCACTATGCCAAAACGGAAGGTACCTTTACATCAAGGAAGGCAAGTATCTCAGGTTTAACCTCTTTATACTCCCCCTTAAGCCTAGCTTATCTAATATACTAGCTTAGTCTTAATAGGCTTATTACAGCGGATTTTGTTAATTTCCTATAGGGAATCAAACCTAAGAGCAAAGGGAGGCAGTAGAAGCACATTGTGTTACATATACCGGGCTTATAACCTTTAGAAGATCCTACTATGCCAAAATGGAAGGTACCTTTATATTAAGGAAGGCAAGTATCTCAGGTTTAACCTCTTTACAAAGAATAACCCCGCAAGATCGCATGTCAAGTTTGGGGGATGCTTCGCAGACGCTGATTCATGGAAAATTACTAGCCTGGTGGACATAGCCCGGATCTGCTTAGCATCTCGGTATGGCATAACCGACTCGAGAGATTTATATAAATAGTATTGGCCATCATCCCTACGACTCTTGAAGACGATAGCCATCTTTACTTTTATCATAATCGACGACATCAATGGCTAAAGAATCAAGTTTGACGTTTACAAACCCGGTCATTCGCGGCTTCAACCCGGATCCTACCGTCTGCGTTGTTCCCGCCACGTATTCAACCCCAACGACGTTCTTCCTTAGCACTTCGACATTTGAGTTCTTCCCCGGATGCGCCATTTACACGTCAACCAATCTAATTGACTGGAAACTCATTGGACATGCGCTCAATCGTCGAAGCCAGATAAATATGCGGACTGTCGAGCCTGGTGCGGGTAGTTGGGCCAGTACTTTGAGATATCGACCTGAGGAGAAGAGATGGTATTTGGCCAATGGCGTTTTCCACCGTTACCGACCAACTGTCGATGTAAGTAATGAAGCCGAAGAGAGAAAATAAGATCAGCCTCTGACAACTATGAGCAGGAACGTATCTTTCCCAGAGGATTCTATGTTTGGACTGACAATATCTGGGACGACACTGCATGGTCTGACCCAGTTTACTTTGACAACCCTGGCTTTGACCAAGATGTGAGTAAATTACAGTACTTCTCGCACGGACATGCTGACCGGACTAGTTGTTCTGGGACGACGATGGGAAGGTCTATCTCTCAACCACAATGCGCTTCTCCTGGCGAGACCCCAACTCGAAGCAGAAAGACTTTGGAATTCACATCTCTGAGATCGACATCTCAACTGGTCGAACCCTCACCGCTCCGAAAGTCATCCGAAAGTCTCCTCATGGAATTGCCGAGGGCTCTCATATCTTCAGGCGAGGAGACTGGTACTATCTCTTGACCGCTGAGGGAGGCACAGAAGCCGGTCATCAAGAGTGGGTGTTTCGAAGCAAAGACAGCCCACTAGGTCCGTGGGAGAGCCAGGGAAAGCCTCTTTGGTACAATGGACCCGATGAAGAAGTTCAGAGAACGGGACATGTTGATGTCTTTGAGGACGGAAACGGAGACTGGTGGTCTGTCTTACTGGGTGTTCGACCAGTGCAACAACAGGGGACCTTTTTGGAACCGCAACTAGGTATTAACTAACCAGCTCTCTTTGGAATTAGAGTAAGCTAACTTCGATAGGACGAGAGACCTTTCTCGTCAAGGTTGAGTGGAAGAACGACTGGCCAGTCTTCAATGACGGTAAAAATATCACACTGAAGACTGAAGGAAGAAATCTTATCAAATCAGCTTCGAAACCAAGTCTTCGAATATGGAAGGCCGATCTTTCAAAAGATGATCTGGAGTTGGGATGGTACCAAAAGAGTAAGCCATCTCCTTGAACAGTTTAGAATCCATCTAACATATCCAAGACACTCCCATTAAGTCATGCTACACACTCACAGAGAAGCCGGGTGTGTTAAGACTATATGGTAACTGCTACGACTTAACATCTCCTGAGGCACCGGCCATGCTTCTTAGGAAACAGACTTCGTATAACCAGGTGTTCAAAACAAAAATGGAGTTCAAACCTACGGTTAGAGGCTACGAAGCTGGTGTTGTACTATGGTGGAGCCAGCACTCTTACGCCTCCTTGGGAGTCGTCGCTTCAGAAAACTACAATGGAAAGGTCGAAGCAATGATCAGCTATAAGGGAGCCTCTGGAGATGCGAACAAGTTCAAGGTAAGTTACGAGAAATATCAATGAGCATAAGCTGATGTTATTACTAGAATTCAGAGACAGATCTTAAAGGTAATCTCGAAAACGTTGAGTTGTCTATCCGTGCATATCCGACCAAGTATGAGCTGTATCTCAAGGCTGGAGGAAAGGAGTCAGAAGTATATACTGTGAATGCCAGTGCTTTAACGGTGATGCCAGCCCACGGAGGATGTTTTACCGGAACAATGTTTGGAATTTATTCCTATGGCAAGAATCAGCCTGTATTGGATCTAGTAGATTTTTCATATATTAGCACAGAGGAGCTTGAGTAGCAACTATAGACAAATAAAAGTCACACCGCTATCACAACTTCTGTAGTCAGGACCCTAAGAGAAGCAAAAGCACAAAGCATCCAGAAGCAAAAACTGCAAAAAATTGATTCGCATGTTTAGAACATGTGGCGGATCTCTCCCGCCGGGAATTGAACCCGGGTCTCAAGCGTGACAAGCTTGCATACTGACCACTATACTACGGAAGAATAGCCGGCTTTAACCGGTTGTAGTGAGGAACTGTGGTTGCTAAGTCACAGTGAAAGTATATATCCTCAGTTCACTCAAAACTCCAAATCGACAGTCTGGCTTCCGTCACAATTTGAGTATTTGTGCAATCTCTAGCTTGCACTGCACTGAAATTTTTGACCGAATGAATGAGTTTATGTCTTCTGTTCATTTATATGCCTGTGTATATATATAGTACTTAAGCCTCTCCCCAAATCTCGTCGGCGATGTCTCGAACCAACGCAAGCTTCTTTTTCTCTTCCTCAAGATTAAGGGGATATCCGCTCTCATGAGTGCTGAATCCACACTGAGGACTGACAGAAATTTTCTGAAGCGCCTCCTTCTGGCTTTCACCAGTTCCCTTGGCCACCCAATCCGCTGCACTCAAAACACGCTGCTTCATCTCCTCCTTATCCTCCAGCTGAGGCAACTTGGTGCTAATAACGCCAACGACGACATTCTTGTCCTTGGGCAGGAACTGAAGAGGCTCAAAGCCACCAGCGCGCTCGGTGTCGTATTCAAGGTAGAATGTGTTGACATTAAGGTTGCGGAAGAGCTTCTCAGCGATGATGTCGTATTTTCCTTCAGCAAAGTGGCGACCGCCAATGAAGTTGCCACGGCAGAGATGAATGCCTGTGTGCATGTCTGAAGGTATCTTGGAAAGGCTATCGTTGTAGAGCTTTATATAAGCATCTAGGAGATCGTCGACGGTACCAATGTTATCAGAGTCAGCAGCCCAGCCATCACGGAACTTCTGGCTGCAAAAGTCTACACGGTGTCAGCTTTTGTCGTCAATATTCAAAGAAGTCAACTCACAAGCCATTCCAGGGTCATCAAACTGAACATTCCTCAGACCAGCCTTATAAAGCTGATCAAGCTCATCCTGGTAGACCTTGGCAACATCCTTGAAGTACTCCTCGTCGTTCTTGTACGCCTCGGGAGTATACGCCTTGCCTTGCTTATAACGCATATGGAACCAGGCAGGAGTAATCATAGTAAGCTTGATGGAGCCCCAGTCCTCCTTTGGGACAAACTTCTGAACGAGCTTCAGCTCATGGAGGTTTGAAACCGACTTCTCAGGGCTGTGGGAGAGCTTTCCGCCAGCAATGACAGATTCTCCGGGCATGACCTGGCGATCAGTCTCGATCAAGCTGACGACGTCGGGGTGGTAAAGCCGGAACATGGAAGCATCGGCATCGGAGAGCTGGGTCGTCCCCTCAAACTCGTCCCACATAAGACCCCAGAAGCGAGTACGGGTGAACTCGCCGCTGGTCACGGCCTTGAAGCCTAGGTCTTGCTGCATCTTGACAACATCATTCACAGCGTCGTTCTCCACCGTTTCGAGGCCGGCGTTTTCGGGGCTAAGACCCTTCTCACGGATCTGCTCTCTGACATCAAGAAGAGCTTGAGGCCGGAGCAAAGAGCCCATATGCTCAGCGCGGAAAGGTTTAAGAGTGGGTGCCATATTGTTGAATATTACGTATAAAGTTCAAGCAAGCTTGCAAGAGTGAAATGGTCTTAAGAAACGCTTCTTAAATGATCTCAAGTCGAGTAATCTTATGAGGAGGGGCGCTTGCGGGGCTTCCCATCGTGGGGCGGGGCCGTCTTAATAAGAAAAGGGCTGAATGGCCGCGATCTAAAGTCATTCTTGTCCGTTTTGATCTGCCGTTTTCCGTAAATCCGGTTTCTGGTTCTTGGTGGTGGGATTTGGAGAGGGGTAATGACCGGATGGGACAATGCCCGAAGTGAAAGAGGAGATGCCCTGGGTTGCATTGAGAGCTGGTAGGTTGATCCTGTCTCGGCGGTGAATTTTGGTGGTGGTAAGTAAGAGGAGAAGACGCTAAAGATCTTCAACTGAGTGAGGGGGTTATGATGGTATTTATATCCTATATCCGAGAACCTTGAGGTCCTGAGTCCAACTGAAGTACTCGTAATACGTTTTCAGAAGTCAGCTATATTTTTATTAGCGTATACTCCCTTTCTTGTCACATACTTGAGCAAGTAGTTATCGAAATGCTACCCCAGATATGGCTCGGAGATTATTCAAGGTTAATCAAGTGATTACAGGCCATCAACATGCAGAATCCGCTCAGTGAAACCCGCCCATGCATAGAAATCTGGGGAAGCCCAGGAATGGACCACTGACTGGAGAATTCTGGATTGGAAAACATAATCGCCCATGCAGGAAACCCTGCGCGTCAATTAAAAATAGCAGACCTGCCACTTTGGGAATTGTTATATTTTAGATGTCGTTATCAATAATTAGCAGGTCAACAACATACTCAGGCACGAGGGTGCTCTGCTAATGAACCTATTGTAAATTTTAGCACAAAATGTTTAAATGAAGGTTGCGAGGACAAGATAGACAGTATCTGACAATGCCTTACGAGGCATACACGAAGGCACATCGGCTCAATTGGTGGTTGACAAGTGCATAATTCCACAGCCTGGTTTGTTATCTCTCGATTCTGGCAATTCCCCGCTCCCAGAATTGCACTCCATCCCCCGTTTTCTATCTCTCAAGCTCGGCGAAAACCGTTAGAAGCGCCCAATTTCAACCTGGCTTTCCCGGAGTCCAGACCGTTATGGACGGCCTCTCAGTAGCCGCATCCTGCATTGCTGTAATCCAAGCTGCTGATCAAACCTACAAGATCATATCGCAATTTAGAAGAGATTGCAAAGACGCGAAGAGTGACTCGGTCGCTGTGAGCCAAGAGTTGTCCACCTTGATAAGAACTCTCACACAGCTGAAGGATTTGGTGCCCGATGGTAGTGACTTCGCGAATAGTGACTTGGCCAACAATACTAAGAGAGACATCCAAAATATTGTTTCAAGCTGCTTGGTAGTGGCTAGCGATATAGAGGATGTTCTGTCGGGCCACGAAGGAAAGTTGGCTGCACTCAGTTGGGCCACCAGAGGCAAGCGAAAAGTCGCGACATCCAAAGTGCTTTTTGGAAACGAATCGTCGAGCTCTCAGTCTGGCTGTCGATACCATTACGCTGTTAGTAATAGTGGTTATCTATTCGGTGTTGAAGACTGACTGTTGACAGAGCCACTGCCCAGAATATCAAGCAGGATACAGCCAATATTCTAGATGATACTACGCATATGAGAGGTGATATTTACGACTTGGTCGTGAGGATCAGAAACCTCGAGGCGATGGTTGCAGACAAAGACCCCGATGATCCGCGAAAATATGTACTGATGCGTTATCTCAACGATTTATCCTCCGTTGCTGCGTCTGTATGTGATATGTCGTCAAGGCCTGCGACCCCTGAGTCAGACACCAGCGAGTAAGTTTCCCAGAAGTTCTGGTGAAACTTGAAAGTTGACAATAATAAGAAAATTGGTGGAGGACATACACTCTCTTAATCCATCAAAAGATTAATCTTTTGGTGCGAAAAATACGAGTTATAGTGGAACAGAGCCTCCATCCTCCATCCCCCTCATACCAGACAGAATTTCAGGAGCACGAATCGATGACAGGTTTACCACTGAATCCGCGGGTAACTCAACAGATAATCATAGAATGGCGTCCTCGACTAGGGGAACCTCAAAGCTTTCCTATGTCAGGACTAGCTATCGTCAGCTTCTGCAACCGAAGCTGAGCCCTTTGTCTAAGAGTTTCCGGGGATTCACACTATCACCGGATGGGACCAAGCTCCTATGTAGAGATAAAAGATACATGCTCCTCGATATCAATTCAGGAGAAATCAAGGATATCGATCCCAAACCGCCTCGATTCAGCCTCTCGGGCTTTCCATCCGTAACAAATTTCATCATTGAAACTATGAAAGTCGAGATCCTGACAACCGATGCCTCAATTTTTCTGGCGAGTGTGAATACAGCTGCAGGTCGATTCTGGATGTTTGGAGACAGCAGCACTGGCGAATGGACAAGGCAGATGGGCTGCCCAGATCCTTTCACACGCCATGCTGCATTCTCCCGCTCTCCCCCAATTGGGCACTATTTGTCCAGCAGACCGGCGGCGACGGAGCTTCCATCGTCAAGGTAGTCAAAACAACTGACCCTGAAGGAAAGCCAAAGCTCGTGTGCAAAAGTGGGTTTCTTCCTCAAAGCAGAGAAGTCAAGAAAGGACTTTTCACGTTCTCGCACATGGACCAAACTATCACTACCATTCGACACGTTGAGCGTTCCGCAATCTTGTACACTTGGAAGCTCCATGGGGATTGGTTCACAGATGCCGATGTGACGAGGCAGGCACAGGAGCCTAGAAGGCTTCTCCTACCAGAATAATATGGGAGCGATGAAATAGCTATCATTGGCATAGCTCCTGGGAGTAGCATGCGTGTATTGACTATGAGATGAGGTTTCCGAGTGATGCTCACCCTGAAGATTTTATAATTACTGGCCAGGATCTATCATCACATCAATCTGAACCCTTGAAACCCTACAGGCCAGCACCAGGGACAAGAAGCTACAGTTACGCTAGGACATATGCCATGGGGCAAGTTATGGTCTCGGAAGACAGAAAGCTTATGCAGACCAAGTCTTCAGTTGCTTACGGAGCAGTCTTAAGGGAAACAGACTCTTTGCATGCGATTCAATTGATTGCGAGGAAACTAGATGAATGGAATACATTTTCGCCAAATTTCGATCACTGAGTGCATATGGGCAAGGATGCAAGGAGTGGCGAGAAGAAACACGGGATATATATTGACAAATTCGCACTCGGATGGCCTGAGGAATACCATCAAACTTGAGGGGGTTGGAGGACAGACGATTGGCATTGTGTATGGATCGAGTACTTTAAATTAAGGCATCCAATATACGTAAATACATTCTATTCAGTCCATTGATTTCAGAGAATGTTCTGATAAGCCCGCTTAAGGTATTAAATCTATTAGGTACCTGTATAGCTACTTCAGACCGGGTTTCAAGATATTGTCAAACGTTATATCTCAAATACAAGGGAAACTTGAAGTATATTCCTGAAGGCTGCTCCAGCCCCCTATGCTTCGGTTGTCACTCAGAGAGTGTCAGAATATAAATAGCGTTTTTCAGAATTTATTTTCTGCTCGAGATTCAGCTGCCTCCCAGTATGTAGACTCACCAATTGGGAACCCATATGTCAACAAGGGCTCTGAAATAAAGCCATCGGTTGGAAAACGTAGAACGCAAGGCATATCCGTTCTTTTGATCTCATGGTGGCATGCAGATATGCCAAATCACTCTTGAAAGGAAGGAGTTGAAATGCTTAAGTGTCACTTTGACAAGCGATTGATAGGAGAATAACCTTATATCAGTCGTGTTTCTACAACTATGCCTAATCAGCATGTTTAACTACGATATGAGCTTCTGCAATGACTCCTTATGGCAAAAGTTTCCCTCTGCTCTGAGTGTAATCATGTAATAAATTCGCTTTCTCTTGCACCTATTAGTTGTCTTATCCTAAGAGCTGCCGGCCGTCATTGGATAGGTCGTTTCAAGCGCAGCTGCTGACAAACGATGGGAAGGTCCTCGGACGATATTGACGAATAGTTGATGAATTATGGGTCCCGGGCTCATCTGGCCGGTTACTGAATGGGAACTGTTCTTGCAAGCGTTGTGCTGAGCGGGGAGGATGTGCTGATACGTGGGGGTCATCGGAGCTCATCCGGGCGATCAAATGAGTATCAACAGACGATCAGTCGCGATTCAACGGTCAAAGGAAAGATAGAAAAGAGAAAACCATTAGTGAGATGAGAACAGCTCCAATAGTAAGTCAAAATATCTCCGACTTCATGGATATCTTCCGTGACTAAACCCGTTTATGTTCTCGTGTCCCCATCACCATCACAAACCCCACGTCGGTGGTCATGCTGAACAGAAAAATTGGCTAGGATGTGCGGCTGCTGAAAAGCTGGGGTTACGTCAATAACAAGGCAAACCTATCACAACAGATCTAATGTCACATCTTTCTGAAATCTTGTAATCTGTAGGTATTTCCTCGTGTGGAAGGTCATCTCGATAAACTTGGATACAGACTTTCAGTGGCTTGAACGGGTCGGGGAGTCCGGCCTTGAAAGACAGTGTTTAGTGTGACGGATCAACCGATCTGCACTGGAAGATCAATGCGGCTACGAATCTCGGGATCCGAGAAATCATGAAGGCGTTAAATGCTCTGTGGCTCTAAATTTGAACATCTATATAGTCCGTCTTGATCATTCTATCGCTTCAAGACCAGAACAAGACCTTACGATGCTTACTCACATCAAATCGATGACTCCAACAAGTGACGCCATAAAATAAGCACCATCACTGCAACCCCTGTCACAAGAACCGTAGATCACCGAACGTGGCACGCGAGCCCCCCCCCGCGCACCCACCGAGACCAGAGTGGAGTAGCACCTAAATTGCACCATCAAACCCCGCGACTTCGCAACCGCCGGGGAGTTCTTTTGTCCTGGTTTTATTCCTTCTCAATATCAAGCCACTGACGATCACCTAACGCTTTCGTATAATATAACATAACCATGCCGCCAGCCGAAAACTCGGAGGCTGGTCGTCTCCTGAAATCTCAACACCGCGATTCTGCCTCTTACACCATGGCTGACAAGGAAGAAGAGCGCAAAGCCTACGGGGCAATTAATAATGATGGGAGGAGGAACAGTCTTGTCGACGCTGCTGATGACGAAGCAATCATTCCCAAGGGAGCTTTGGACCCAGTTTATGAGGCGAAAGCTCGTATTCTGAACCGTGCTGTGAGTTTTGTTTTCTTTACTCGTGTTGGTGGTCGGTGGGCGTTAACAATGTCAGATTCAAGATCTCGGCATGGGGCGGTATCAGTGGGAGCTTTTCGTCGTCATAGGCTTTGGCTGGGCAAGCGATAATCTCTGGCCAATCGTCACGTCGCTTATTCTTACACCTGTCGCCAATGAGTTCAGCGTAAGCAACCCACCATATCTCACCCTGGCGCAGAACATTGGTCTTCTTGGAGGCGCAATATTTTGGGGATTTGGGTGTGATGTTTGTAAGTCGTCTCGCCAATTGCCTTAGACTGATTATTAATTTTGGCAGTTGGGCGGAAATGGGCATTCAACATCACTCTCGGTCTTACAGCAATTTGGGGCCTCATTTCAGCCAGCGCCCCCAACTTCGCAGCCATTGGCATTTTCGACGCATTATGGTCTTTTGGTGTTGGCGGAAATTTACCAGTTGACTCGGCCATTTTTCTCGAGTTTCTACCGGCATCTCATCAATACCTCCTCACGATTCTGTCCATTGACTGGGCCATTGCACAAGTCATCGGTACACTTATCGCATGGCCACTTTTGGGTAATTATACTTGCGAACAAGATACAGTCTGTCGACGAAAGGATAACATGGGATGGCGATATTTTACCATTACTGTTGGTGGACTAACCCTCCTCATGTTCCTTGGACGCTTTGTATTGTTCAAGATCTACGAGTCACCCAAGTATCTTATGAGCAAGGGTCGCGATGAAGAGGCTGTTAGGGTTGTGCACACCGTGGCCAAGAAGAATGGAAAGACGTCAACGCTTAGTCTCGAGGATCTGAAGGCTTGTGAACCGGAGGGTTACGTCGCCCAGACAGATACCAGCGCCGCGTTAAAGCGATATCTGGAGAAGGTCGACTTGTCGCATGTCAAGGCACTTTTTGTCACGAGAAAGCTCGGCCTCAGTACAGGATTGATCATGGCGGTTTGGGCACTTATCGGTCTTGGATATCCCCTCTACAACGCTTTCATTCCCTATATCCAGGCGACTAAGGGAGCCGACTTTGGCGATGGAAGCACATACCTCACATACCGAAACAGTCTCATTATTGCTGTTCTTGGTGTACCAGGTGCACTTCTGGGAGGATGGCTTGTTGAGTTACCACGGTTGGGACGAAAGGGCACGTTGTCACTCAGCACTATCCTCACCGGCGTCTTTCTCTACTGCTCCACGACTGCTACAACAAGCGATGCTTTACTCGGATGGCAATGCGCTTTCAACTTCTTCAGCAACATCATGTACGCGGTTTTGTACTCCTTCACGCCAGAGCTGTTCCCCACGCCTCACCGAGGAACAGGCAATGCGCTATGTGCTTCTTGTAACAGAATCTTTGGCATCATGGCAGTAAGTTCGCCCTAGAATCCTGTTACAGGCTAATACTGACTTATGCAGCCTATTATTGCCATTTTTGCAAATTTGGAAACATCTGCTCCTGTATATACAAGTGGAGCATTGTTCATAGCAGCTGGGCTCTTGGTATTGCTGATGCCCTTTGAGTCTAGAGGCAAAGCTGCACTATGAGCAGTAATGTGATACTGAATAGATAATGATGGCATGAATGGCAAAATACGAAGCGAAGCACTCTTTCAGAGTTACTGGTAAAGCGTTTTCGTGTACTAGTTGCATAAATTAATGATAAAAGACTGATATCAGTCATATTTCACTCTTTACTTCTTGTCGTCCCGTTCCTTAACCAGATCTGTTTCAAAGGATAGTCCGGCCTCCTTTCTGAGTATTCCATACATGGAAGAAGAATCAAGAGGCCTTCCCTCGACTTCAGAGAACTGCTTTGCATCTTTCAGATGTTTGATGGCAACCTCAGCGACCTCCAATCTTGCTCCAGATTGTTCTGCAAGGGCAATTCCATGGCCGACGTCCTTAATTGCCAGATTCAGGTCAGACCAAGGCCGGTCGCCTCTTGCTGGCATGTAAGCTCCAGTAGTGAGTCGTTGAGACATGGAAAGTGCCAGAGGGCCGTATTGTTGCTCTACCAGGGCTTCGAGATTCTTGCTTCCGAGACCAGACTTTTCTGCTAGGACATGTGCTTCTGCCACGACTTCCATCATGCCAGCCGTAATAAAGTTTCTGTCTTGTTATTAGCTATGCTTAGGTATCAGATGAGAACCCCTACCCAGCCGTTTTCATCTTACTCGACACTCTCACATCTTCTCCAACTCGAATCACACCTCTTCCCATGACTCCCTCCAAGTACGGGTTAATCTTTTCGACGGCATCGTCAGGGCCAGCAACTATCCATAGAAGCTTTCCCTGTGCCGCAACAGGGCTTGCACCAAATACGGGTGAGGCGATGAATTTGGCGCCCTTCTCATTCAAACGAGCTTGAGCTTTGGCCGAAGAGTCCGGATGAACGGTTGAAGTATCCGCAATAACTTTTCCAGCGAACTGTTCAGGGCCTTCGGAGTCGATGATTGAATCGAGGGTCGACTCAAGAGCTGAATCGTCGCTGAGAGATAGGAAGATGATATCGCAACTTGTCACGAGGTCTTTTGGTGAAGGAGCAGGTTGAGCGGCAAGGCTCTTGAGAGAATCACCGCGAGAGATAGTTCGATTGTAGTAAAGAATATTGGGGGCGCCTATTGACTTCAAGTGTTTCTGGAGGTTTGTTGCCATGGGGAGTCCCATTGACCCCAGGCCTGTCTGATTGTCAGGTTTCTGTTGCAACTGGTGAGTGATAAGTCTGCCTACCGATCCAGCCAATTCGTAGAGATGTCATATCGAATTCGAATTAAATTTCAGATGCAGGTATGTATGTGCCGAACATGCACTGAAAAGGAAACCTGTACCTATTGATTATGGTATTCATAGTAAGCAATTAGATTCATCATGACTCAAATTGGGCCCTCGGATCCGAAACCCCGCAGTCTCGGGCGTTATCCCGAGTCCTTTTAGCCTCTCTCTATTACTAATATTTCTTTTACATGCTATTTTTATAGTTGTTATTATTATTAAAGCTATTAATTATAGCATTATTCTCTCTGCCAGATACTTAGCTTACTTACCCTGTTGCAAAGTTGAGCAGGATAAACTAATAAACGCTAGTACCTGTTGGGTATCCCAGAATATGAATTCCATTCTGGTTGTCAATTTTCAACCAATCATGAAGCAATTCCGGGCGAATGGTTTAGTGGTATAATACTCCCTTAGCATGTTCTTTCCTCTGTGATAACACCTCTGGGAGTGGTCCAGGGTTCGATTCCCTGTTCGTCCAACGTCGGTGGTTAAATCCCACTATTATCACTCTTTTTTGTATTTAAGTAAATCAGGACTTTTTGCTTTACTGACTTAATATCTCAAATTCTATAAATTTTAACTATTAATAAGGGAAATAAGTGCATAACTTACTGCGAAGTAGTAACTTAAAACCTGGGATCTGACATAAGCTTATAGAATCCTGCGATTATAAGTCTTACCACTAACTGAACCTTTTCTTTATCCCTCATAGACCTGGATGAGACCTTATTACAACCATTTGTACTTCGTTAAACTTCCTGTCGCCTCGAATCTCAATCCAGATATGACTTCTGTTGCTACAGCCGCAAGACCTGCCCTGGTAATCGTACCTGGCAACTTCAGCTTACCTCGCTTCTGGAGCGCCATCCAGCGGTCTGCTGAAGACAAAGGCTATCCCGTCGAAGTTGTTCCTCTTCAGTCTTCTCGTGAAGGAAGGATTGATCCTGCGCCAGGTTTGGCCGATGATGTAAATGTGGCTCAGTCGGTCCTGAACAAGCACATCAACCAAGGAAAGGATTTTGTCATGCTCATGCATTCATATGGTGGCATAGTTGGAACTGAAGCAACTCGCGGTTTGAGTCGCACTGAGCGAGAAAAGGCAGGTCGAAAGGGTGGGATAACTGGCTTGATCTTTCTGGCTGCGATCTTTGCACCTCCTGGCAAAAGTACTAGGGGGCTATACGAAGCCAACCCGGGCCGCTATCCCCGCCGCGAGGTTCGCGAGACTTTGTTATGTGACTGGAGTTGAACTAATTGTCACTAAACAGGGTGATTATCTTGTATGCGATGAAGAAACAGCTATGTGCCTCTACAGCGATCTCACAGAGGGGAAAGGCTTGCCACTAGCTCAGGACGCTTCCAAGATTTCTCAGTCCGTTAGGGTCTTCGGCGATGAGCAGACATACGATGGCTTCCATAAACTAATTCCATCCACTTATATCCTGACTAAGAAGGATGTGCTTGTTCCCGAAACAGCTCAGAGGCAGTTCATCTCTCGACTGGAAGAGAACGGAGGTCGACGTGTTCCTGTTTTTGAGCTTGATACGGCTCACTCGCCTCACCAAACAGATTCCCAGTTGCTGATGAGAACTTTGGCTAAGATACTTGAGAAGGACCATGGAGCCGAGTGAGAAGTGAGAAGGGTTAGTTTCGTCTCACAGCTATTCTCTGTCACACATCAGATGTTACTCAAGGACCTGACTTTGAGAAACTCTTCCGCCTGGTCGTAGCAGAGTGAGACAAATGACAAACCATGACGAGCTGACAGCATTTCAAGAATCGGCAGAAAGCTTAGTTGCATATGGGAGCCGTCTCTAATTCGTGTTACAACTTACGGCTGAATCAACGGGATAGCCGCAGATAGTCCAGAATCTTCAGCTTTCCGATTTTCCCGGCCAGCTCAAGTGTTCTACTTTATTGCCAGCCACATTTCTCAAGTATCCTGTAAGACTATTGGGAGCTGTACTGGCCCCTGGCGCAAGGGTAGATCATGTTTCAGCGCCGCTCCCTTGCGTCTCTCCTGATGATCAAGAGTCATCACGCTTTCCTATTCGTAAATCGATAGTTACCAAGTCTAAATCACGACAAAAATTAATTTCAAGCCAAAGGAAAACTCGCGATTTGCTTAAATATCAATTGTGTTCTCGTATTGCAATGCCTTGCTGGTGTAAGTCTCAACAAGATGATGAGGTGGCAGGGTGTTCATCGTCTCTCATGGAAATTCGCTGGAATATCGAGAACAATGCCATTTTGAGAAGTCAATTAATTCCATACTGAAAGGTAATTGTGGAATATTGAACTTTGAGCTTCCCTATGGTATGTACTACCAGGCGCAATTGCTTTGATCCCTGGACCCATCCAAAGTGAGACATTGAGCTCGTCTACTCCGTACTCCCTTATCCATTCCAGGCAAACCATCTCGCCTCCCTCAAACACGCTGCGATTCAAATCGATACACAAAAATTCCAGCGCGTAAGGGTTTCTCTTTATTTTAGCGCGTTTTAACACCCTACTTGTCAGCTTTCCAACCACGCTCGTGAACGAGGCCCTGACGATGTGACTCTCCCTGCTTTACTGGTGCCTTTCCGCCACAGCAAGGCGCTGAATAGTTGAGTAACTGGTATGCATGACTGCCGACAAAGGGTTTTAATGGTTATAGAATTATTGGACACCGTAAATCTGGACTTCCCAGCCACACGGGTTGACGTGTGAATAATGCAGTATCGATACGAAGATGCGCAACCTCGTTGTTATAGCGTTCCAGGCAGACTGAGTGGAGTACGACGCCATGTATATCAAGCAGGCCTCTTCTCTCGATTGAAGAGACTCATCAACACTACTAACCAGCAGAAACAAAGACATCTTTCGTCTATCTCGACAACAAAAGTCTTCTGTATTTTCTTCATCCCATAACTCGACTCCAAGATGAGAACATCGCTGGCTTTCCTGGCTCTGGCAGCCACAGCCTTTGCCGTTCCCCAGGCCGTCACAGAAAATATTGCACCCAAGGGCAAGGCACCCAAGGGTTGCACCACCTCATATGATGGTCAATTCGAAGTCACAATCTTCAAGCCTGGTAACGAGAAGCGCGATGTCACCGAGGTAAGCAAGATCATACTCTCAAAGGTGACCCTTGACTAACAGACAACAGCGATCATGCAATGGCGAAGGTGTTCTAGTCTTGAACCTCAAAGATGGCGTTCTCAAGGACGCTCAAGGACGAACTGGCTACATCTCTGAAAGCTACCAGTTCCAATTCGACAAGCCCGTTCAAGCTGGCGCCATCTACACATCCGGTTTCTCAGTCTGTTCCAACGGTACCCTCGGCTTCGGATCCTCCGCAATCTTCTGGCAATGTCAATCCGGCGACTTCTACAACCTCTACGACCGCAACTGGGCCGAGCAATGTGAGCCTGTTGAGTTCGGCGTCATGCCCTGTGGTAAGAGCAAGAATGCCAAGTCCGCCCCCAAGAAGAGAATCGTGGGAAGCAGTGTTGTCGCTACCACTGTCGTAACTGTCGTCTCCGATGGCACAACGAGGGAGGTTCCTACCACTATTGCCGTACCCATGTGCCAGATTGGCGATGGACAAGTTCAGGTTCGCACAACGCCTTGTGATGACATGGAGATCCCTATCATTACTGCTGCTCCTGTCAGCCAAGTCTCGGATGGCAAGCTTCAGGTTCCCACTACGGCTCCTCCCGCGCCTCCTGCAGTTCAGAAGCCTGCTAAGCCGGCGGATGACACGCCTGCTCAGGGTACTGGCGGCGATGCTGGGGATAAGCCCAAGCCCGCTGGCGAGTCGAAGACCGCTGCATCTCCTGCTGGGAACGCTGCGCCTGACAACACAGGTGCGGCTCAGGCTGATAAGCCTGCTGGGGATGAACCTTCTGCTACAGGCGCCCGACAAAAGTCAAAGGCTACTAAGACCGACAACGAAGTGCTGGTCACTGACTCTGGCGTCCCCTCCGACACTGAGACCGAGGAAGCTGGTTCTTCACGAAGCACACGCGCCGTCAAGCCCTTCAAGCCTCAGACGACCGAGAGTGATGACTCTGGGGAGACTGGAAGCGGCTCCAGTACTGGCTCGGCCGACGCTGCGTCTACCGGCGCGGCTCAGTCCGATGCCTTCAAGATTGTCGCAAGTTTGGGCATGATGCTTGTATCGGGCCTGTTTGGATCTCTGTTGATCCTGTAAATGATGATGGAAACGGGATGATTGATTGCAGTAATGATTGTATATGTTTTCTCGCATAAATGTGGTGTTCTGGTTTTCTCATGTCGGAGGTATTGGGTTAGTGGATTTAGACATCTCTTTACACACAATGAATCGCACAATAGACATCGATCACAAAGCTAAACGTACTCAAAATGCTGACGTTCAATTGCCTCTGCTTGTTGCTGCAAGCCAAGATCAGTGGAGATGATTCCTCATCATTACCCCACTATAACCGATATGGGTGGGCCTATTTTTAGCACCACCATTAGTGTCAGTCACCTGTATTCACAGTGTTCTACGTAACTAAAGCTTTACGAGGGGTCTTGCACAAACTTCTTTCACTCACAATCCTTTGTAATTCGCAAAAACTCACACAAAGGTTCGCGTACGTGAAACAATGGACGACTCATTTATAAGGAATCTCGTAGAGAATGTCAATCAATTGGCGCCGACATCAATCGCCATCTCAGTCGCGGTCTTGTTGGGCAGTCTCATCACCATCTGGCTTCAAAATGGCTCTTCAACACCGAAAGAGCTTCGCAATCTTCGACGACAAGGCGTGTCATCAAGCAATATGCATGATCAAACCCATTCCAAATACGACCTTCCTGAGAGCAGCGAAAGCAGTGGCCCAATTCGTGTCAAAGCAATCTTTGTGCATCCCATCAAATCATGTGCCCCGGTCGAATTGCACCGAGCGCAGCTCCTCAAGAGTGGCTTTGTCTGGGACCGATGCTTTGCTCTGGCGACAGAGGTCAATCGGGCAGAATCAGAAGGAGGCCCAATATGGCGATTTATCAGTCAGCGGACTAAACCGCTCATGTCGCAGATAAAGACCGAAATATGGCTGAGGCCTGAGGGTCGCGATGCGATATCGTCGTCCGATTCAATGGGATGTCTCGTCCTCAAGTTCCCAGACCCAGATCCTTTGAGTTGGTTTGACCAGCTGAAAGCGCTGCTTTTTTCTCACCAAAAGGCGATTTCCGCTATTGTACCGCTGTCTCCTAGCGAAAACTATCTCAAAACTTATGGAATCACCATGAAGAAATTTGCCATTCATTCACGAGAAGCAGAGGGCTTGGATATGGGAAATGCACCATCAATTGCCGCTGCACTCCCCAAACTCAAGCGCTTCCTCAACATCCCTGAGCATCAAGATCTTACACTTTTGCGCTGCACCCCAAACACTCTCGTACCCACAGAGAAAAACCTCGCACCGTTGGAACACATCGGCAATCCGGCTGTTCATGGTTACACAGACCAACAACCCGTCAACGTGAACAATCTCGCCTCCGTTCACGCCGTTTCCGCCTTTCTCCCCAAGGAAAACCAGCCTCTCAATGCGCTTCGCTTCCGCGCAAATATTTGGATCACAGGCGCTCCAGCGTTTGACGAAGAAACATGGAAACGATATCGCATTGTGCCAAAACAACAAGATGCAGCCTCCCCTTCACTCTCTGTCGTTTGCCGGACATCGCGCTGCACGTTGCCGAACGTGAATCCTCTCACTGGTAAATTCGACACCGACAACCCGGAAGGTGGCAGAACGAGAGGGAATGCGCAGCCTAGCTCGACACTCGTCAAGCATCGAACGGTTGAGGATGGAAACCCCAGGGCTCTTGGGTACCTTGGCATGCACTGTGTGCCGGAGAATGCAGGCTTGCAGCAGGCTACGGAGATTGTTGAAGGCTTGCACGTTCAAGTTGGCGACGAGATTGAAGTTCTTGAGCGCGGGGTTCATTTATACGGATCGACTGCAAATGACTACTAGCACCAAGTCTCACCACATACAATTACCACCAGCTCGGATATCTCAAGACAAGAAACCTTACGCAGAAACTCTCCGTTGTAGGGTCAGTGCTTCTACCATCGGCATCCTTGTCTAGCGCAGACGATCAATCTTACAAAAAGCCACACTCGATGCCAAGCCAACATCTGTGTTACCATGTAGGCGGTAAAGACGTGTTGATAGGCTATCTCGCTCATGGTGATTGGGCTACGGGCGCTGTGCGGGGATCTATGGCGTTTTGTTTGAGTCTGGTTCTTGGGTCATGCTCGAATTCGCACGCTATGGATCGTGGTTATTTCAGGCTTGAAGAGAGTTTATACTGGTATTATCGAAGCCATGTTTGAACAATTGAGGCAGTGTCGTAGGAAATTACGAGTGCTCCGACTTCTTAGAAGTTCCTACTGAGACCTGCAGGACAGCTCCTCAGATATATTACCACAGTGTGCAGATCTTGTCTCAACATACCTGTCTTGCTTGTGGCTTGCCATAGTCTGCTCACATTTATTTTCTTTGTTTGCCCTCCTGCATTTTTCTCGTCCTCTTTCCCTTTTGTTTTCCAATGCTTTGTTCCATTGATCCTAGGCCCTGTAGTCATCCTAATCATGAGTGAACCGGAGCCAACAGCGTTATGGCTTCCTGATGAGGTCCTCTTTGGTATCCTGTCCATGCTACAGGATAGTGACGACCCTGATGCACTGTCCACCAAAGAAGCAAGAAAAACCCTCTATAACGCTTCCTTGGCATCCAGGCGACTCGAAGGCCTTGCTCGAAGAGTCTTGTACCGACGCATTGATGCACGGTCATCAAAGTGTCTCTTAACACTTGGCCCAAACCCTCATCTGTGTCGTCTGGTTCGAGAGCTGTATTGCCCTTACGATGCGGAAGTGGTCGATTCCTTGCTACACCCACACTTTCGAGATTACATATGGCTCCCATCTTCATGGAATGCCAGCTTCCCGGGTTGGCTCGAAAGTGAATATGGTCGGCAGCAATACTACGACCGGGCAACAGCCTTCTGGCTACAGAGGCTGCCAAACGTCAATAGGCTCACTATCAGCCTGAACTACAACATGCAAGCCTTGACGGAAATGGTACAAAAGAGCTTGAACGGGCAGCCAAGGCGATTCCCGCGGTTGACGAGAATCGACTTCAAGCTTAGTCCAAGCGGTATACCAGCATGCATTCAGCCGAGCTTGATTCTGTTCCAGCTGCCGTTTCTCAAAACAGTGACCATCGACGATATGTCTGTTGCTAGAGCCAACAGCGAGGACTTGGAAATGCCAAAGAATGCCTGCAAACGGCTTGAAAGGCTTGAAGCCGACTTTTCATGGATCACACCCGGCAGCTTGCGAAATATGCTATCCGTTTGCGAGAGTCTCCGCTTCCTGGACATCAAGGTCAGAACAATGTTATCAACAAAGTGTGATCCATTCAAATACCGCCTGGGTGACTGGATCCAGCACTGCCATGCCTTGGAAACTCTTGACATTCAGATCAATGCATCTAGGCGGTGGACAGACGGTCTGACTGGTGGGAGGGAGGTCCAGGAGCACACGTGGGCTGCAAACAACGTCGGATCACTCCAGAACTTGACTCGTCTGAAGAGGTTCTCCTTAAGTGTGGAACTTCAACACCTGACGGTGCCAGGACCCTCTGTTCCTCCTCCCAGTCCGTCAAAGCCTGACTTTGAGCTCATGCTTCCAACCTCAATTGAGCATTTTGAGATCAAGAAGATCGGCATTCCAGACTACAAGGAATTTGTCACGAACATACGCAAACTACTCCAGTCAGAGCGGCTGAAGAATTTGTATCATGTATCCGTGGCAGCTAACTTGAAGCCGCATCATCTCGCACAACTGAGCTGGGATGTACGATTGCGTAGGTCCGGCCAGTCTAAAAAAGTCATTCATTTGGTGCACGAAGACCGTGAGAAGAGAGTCCGATCATCGTATCATGAGTAGCGTTTACGACTTTGGGAAGGAAGAGCATATCAATTCATCTGATGTTCTGTACACGAAAGTCCTTTGTTACTGATGGGTCGGACTGGATCTACTCTGTTCTGTGACGGGATAACCCTTTGGCTTCATGGTACGCTTGATGAAATCTGATCTTCTAGAATATCAATCTATTATTTCCTGAAGACTCTCGTGTTCATTGGGCGCAATGAGAACTCTGCATGTTCAGCAACCATCACGGTACAGGACGCTCAATGCATGTGCGTGACTATGAGCCAAAATATGAAACTGGGTTGAGAAATAAAACATGATGTCCCTCTATGAATCTGAACGTTATCTAATTTACACCAAAAGGCCAGGTCCCCATGATTCATAAACATGTCTAAAAGAAATCAGTCTCTGTCAATCTCGTCCTGATCACTAGCGCCAGATTCATCCTCAAGCCAAGTCATAACCTTTTCCTCAAGTTTGTCGCGTAGAGGCATCTCAGGGGTACCCGCAGCGCCAATGAAGGCCATGAAAACTATGGAGCACCACTGAAGATTGATGACAACCTCGAGGCGCTCCACATCTTCTTTAGGCAGACATATATGAATGAGATGCCCAGATTGAAGAGGTGTGCCAGCTTTAGTGGTGGCTCGAAGTGTCTTGCCTCCTATTTTAGGCGGAGGCTGATGCTGGGCGTGGAAAGTATCGAGCTCAGCCATCAAATTCAGCCAGTCGTTCTCGGGGCCAGTGCCGTGAATTTTCATAGTCATACGAGGCCTTTTCTTGATCTGCGGCATCCATCGAAACTGCAACGTCACCATTTCCTTTCCTGCGCTGATATCATGCGAGTGCATAAACTTGAAAGCGCAATAGCCTTTCGCCCACCAGCTGTACAGCTCAGGGTCGAGACATAGTTGATTCCATGCTTTGTCAGATCCGCCGAGTGTACGAGAGTTTGAGACATAAGGCGCCTGCGCGGGGATATCCTTAAGCAAAAGGCTCTCCGCACCTGCCCTCACATACGCGGTGTTGTTATTATGATTCACGGTGTCGTTACACGTGAAGGGAAGAATGTGGTAAGTTTTGGGATTTGGTTTACCAGTCACAATGCATATGTTGCCATCGCGCGCTCGGCATTTGGCTGCTTCTGCTTCGTCTCGGAGATGGTCCTCCAGCGTCGGGATTGTGCGAGCATACCTCCTGAGGAGCTTTTTGAAGTCCACATCCATGTCATCCGAATCAACATCACTGTAAGTTGGTTGAGGTTCGTTGTCCCTAAGGGCATAAGGCTGCAGTTCAGGCGCAACATCAGCAGCGCCCAGATTCATCATATCTAGGTAATGTTAGATAAATCTTTGCGTGGGAAAATGGAGGTTTAGCGACTCACAATGTCTATAGAATGGAGGAATATCTTCGAGTTTCTCTAAAATGTCTTGATGGTTATTGCCACCAAAAGGACGTCCATCAATCAGGCAGGATTCCATTGAAAGCCTGAGTGGGGGTTTAAAATTCCTGGAGGGGATGGTCAAGATGGTGGCAACATGGTACAAATCCAAGCCAAATCCGGGTAGCAAGTATGCGTAATCTGACTGGATGCTGGCCTCGAGTTGCTTCGTATACTCGAGCCTTTTTCTGCTTTCAAATGAGGAAACGAGAGGATCTGGCTCAGTAAAGTCTCGAGCGGGCTGGAAGTCGCATACGTCGGGCTGCTGTGTGGCTTTGACCATGTTTGCAGAATGAAGTCTAGAAGAAGTGGGAAAAACGTTGGAGTGATTCATGGGCACAAGTGAGGATGGCTCTGAATTTATATGTAACAAGCGGCGGGGCAGAATGATTTGACTTTCTGGGCGATGACCTATAAAATTAACTTCTTGACGGAAGGACAAGAAAAATGTTAACTCAAACCTGACAGACCTGATTTGTATCATAAGATACCTTAAGTTACTTACATCAACGACCGCCATTGACTCAAAGTCGATAGAATACAAAGTTGAGTTTGGTTTTGATAATCTTTGAGCCACAGCTCGCAACTAACGAAAGAATTATGTATCTAACCGTCGAATGATATTTGCTATGCCGGCCGCCACAAACAAGGGCTGCCCAGAGTAAACTTCGCTGCGCCAAGTGTTTCCTAAAAAGGACAGCCCCTTGCAAACGAAAGTTATACTACTTAGCATTGAAGGATACCGTTTGAGACTTACTGCTTGGGCCCCTCATTATACTATTATTTATATTTGTCTTAAGCTAACCTTTCTTGGCCGAGGGTTTAGAGCATCTTTTATGCCTCTAAGGCTAACCAAGGAGTTATCTTTTAGGTTTTTATAATATTAGCCTTTAGCTATAGTAATAAGTTAATTATTATAGTATAAGATCTATATTATTAGCTAGATATGTTATTTATAATTAAGACTAGTGGGTAGGAGCTTAAATTAGCTGACAGAACTTAGTTTATTATTAGAAAGCTTTTAGTGGGAGTAAACGACTAGGTTTGATGCTGCGAAAGTATCAAGACTATACCGGAATTTAAATGTCATATGGGACAACGGATGGAAGAACTTACAGCAATGGCTGACCATTCAGCACCGCCAGTTCTCATTTTAATAAGTCGATGCAGTTCAGACTCAGAGCACAAGCGATACGACTAATCTACACGTGCCTTAAAATAGAGTTAGTATACTTTGGATTTAGCAGGTGAGTTTGTGACTTACCGCTGCTGTGCTCGTGGTCCGCGCTGGTTCATTGTTTTGCGCCGCTGAATTAGCGGATGGTTTGGGACCCTTCGCTCTTCTCTTCTCCTGGTCCTTTCCTTCAACTGCAGGGACAGCGGACTTCTGGCTTAGCCAACGCCGTGATCCAGAGCTATCCGCGAGCGGCGCGCGCCCCTTTGCAATCGCTCGTTGGTGCCAGGGCTACATCGTATCACGTGTGATGCCTGCATACTTGTGTGTAGAGTGAAGCCTATTATACAGAAGTGAGAGATGTGAAGGGAGAAGGGGGAAAGGAAAAGTAGAATCTTGCTATAGAGATAGACAGTGAAGTTGACAGTGCCAGCTGTGCATATTCTGACATTGTTCTGCTGTGCCAATACATCGTAAATGAAGCAGTGACAATAGGCTTGAGCTACTGATTGTCGAGCAATATAGTTGATCAATTGTATATGTGTTAAGATTCATTGCTCTAATGATAGTGATTGCGGAGCGAATAGCTAGCTAGCTAGATAGTAAGATTTGATGTTCGTGTCAACAATGCCAACTTTGCGAAACAAAGCATGAAATTCCTTTCTTGTCAATAAAATTGTCGACTTCTAACGACTTGGAGAACTTTGGTAGCATCTTTCAGAGCTATCAGGTCTCAGAACCTGATTGTATAGTATAACCGTGTTGGTTATGGCCATCCTCGAGCCGGTTGTTAAGTAGTCCGACTTGGAATAACAATAACACTTATCAATGTTGATATAACAACTTTCATTTACTAGACAAATCCGATAATAAAAGGGAAGTGTATCTCACGGGGGAGTATAGACCAGAGAGTGACTTTGTAGTATATGAGTAAGATGTAAGAATTGTGATCAGTGTGCTGGCTCGATATGTCTCTTTGGAACGTCATAAGATTTAACTAACAATCAATCAAAAGGAGAGAGGGCCGTGGCAAGGGTCACACTTACTAGGACTAGGTTGTGATCTCGAAACTACTGATTACTCTTCTCGGCGTCGTCTCCAGTAAGGGAAGAATTAGCAGAAGTCGCGGCTAATGCCTCTTTCTCCATTTGTTGCTCAGTAGCGAATCGACGCTTGCGGTATGTCTGCTTGACTCCTTGGAGAGTCCTCCCTGGAAATTGAGCCTGTAAATGCGATTAGTTATGTTTTAGAATACTTGGGTTAGATACTTACAGTGATAGCAGCCCAGGACTCCCCGCCGTTTCTCAGCTGAATTAGCCGTCTCATTTCACTTTCTGTCCACCAGCGCTGGTTCGGTGTAGCAACCTGTTGACGATGTTAGCTGACGTTGAATTTGACATGGATTTGGTGATATTGGTGATACTCGCCACAGTCTGGTGGTAGTTTTGCCTCTTAGGGGTACTTGCATTTATCAAAGACGATAAAGGAGTAACAGATATCTCAGTATCTGTTAAAATATTTAGCCAGGGCCTTTCTCCTGGACTTTCAGGCAGCGGCGTACGTCCATTCTCGAGAGCTCGCTTTTGCCAGGGCCAAAGCTGAACCGAGGTCTTTTCGTAATGGTCTGTCATATATATGACTTTCCGTGCTAACAAAGAAAGTTTTTAAAATCGGAGATATGTATGTAACTGAAATTTATACCAAGATTGGAGGAATATCGTTGTTTTTAAAATCTTTAGTTTTCCTATATATGTGGGGAGTTGAGTCGTGTTTTGTCAAATGATCGTGTGTTCAGGCATAACTTGAACAAAGCAAAACCGGAACACCTTATGTCCCTTTGAAAAGTCACTATTAGTTCAGACATTGACATGGAGGCATAGACAATGTTCAATAGACAGAGAAACAAAACAAGAAAAAGCCACTTAGAACAAGACTCAGGGAGTTTAATGACTAGCAATCGAATATCAGCAGCAAATCTGAGAATTCTTGCCTCTCATGCTATTCTGATCGGAATTGAAGATTGTACCCTATTTCGAACAACGTTGCCTTTAATCGGATCTTCGAATTTTAGGATTTTGACCACAGCCAATACTTGTATCGAAACTGATTGGGTGGCTAAGGGTCTTGCTGGGGATTTCTTTGTTATAGTTAGATGAACTATTGATAGGAGGATTTAAGGGAACGACCCGCCTACGTTTCGGAGCTCGTGATACAGTTTGGGATTTACTGCTGTGAGACGTAGAATATAGATTCAATTCCCAGCACAAATGTAAGGAACACTGAGCGTTACTAGGTTCTCTGTGAGGTTTTGGGCTCTCAGCCACAAGTTTCGACTGATACATGAGCGTTGCCTGGACCCATCCCTCCACATCTTGGTCCATCCTCACTCGAGAGACGGCGTAATGTATAAGTGTGGACAATATATCTTAAAAAGAAGTAATAGATAAGGAAGGAATACGAATTTGAATAGGTACCAAGTTGATTTAGAGAAAAGAAAGATCAATCGTTCATAGTGGTCCCACGTCTGGCGAGCTGAATCAAGCAATAAATAATGACCAGTAGCCTAGAGGCCCCCGCTGCTTCAAGGTATTAGCATGCTAGTACCCTGGATCTATAGACACCTCTTATCTTGAGATTGTAAGCTGATATTCCTGGCGGCTGATGCTTATATCACGGTCCTTACTCGTTAGGTACCTTTGGATTTGAGCAGAGAAATGCTTTTGAAGCATTGCAAAGTAACTCGAGGTTATTATATAAACAATTCTCAGAAACTGCAGCCAGTCATTGTATGCTCTAAACCAGTGGTGAATCTTGATATGGGCTAGTCTGACGGCCTTGGTAGTGTCACACCAAGTGCGAGGCCGCTGGCCAGTCAGGCTTTGCAATTAATGCCTGGAGGCAAATTGAAGAGGCTTTGATAGCGGAAACGGGTACGACATATGCCGTCAAAATAGAGCTGGATGGTCAGAAGCAGCGTTGTTACAGATTTGCTAATGATTCACTATAATATCAACCCGAGCGCAATGTAGAGTAAGCTACTCTAAGTCGCCTTTTTGCAGGGCATTGAGAAGGGTATCTCGTAATTCCTCCTCGGTATGCACTAACTTGGCTTCGAACCTTTTGCAAACCGCCTCCACATTCCCCTTTTTCTTATAGCCTTCCTGGGCACAGACGAAAACTCTTTTCAATTTTGTCTTTACCGCCAAACCGAACTCCATGAGACTAATAGGAGCATCCGTTGATCGGTGGAACATGAAAACAATGATGTCTGCGGCCTCTTGCATGTCGAGTTCCCACCAAACCTGCTCCTCCCATCGCTTGTCGGAGAAGTTTTCCTTCCATGTCCTATCCCAGTCTGGTCGGTTTGGGTTGAAAATTGTCACCGGATGATGGATGAGGGCTCTGGTCAAAGTTTCACGCCAGTCAGGGCCGCCCGTGTTTGTTGTGGTTCCAGCAAGGAAAATGGATGTCTTTTGGTCACCCTGGTTTGGCTTGCACGGAGCCATTACTATCTCGGCGTGACGTTCCATATTTGAATTTGGGACACAATCTTAAACGGTGATGGGAAAGGCAAATTGAAGGTTGGTTGATTACTGGCACATGGAATGCCTACCCCGCCATTCTAGCAGCCAATCAACTGCATGGTTCGCTGACCATACCTGTAGGAACCCATAATCTAGTTGCTTTCGACATGTGTTGCAAAGCCAAGGGGATGCAATAAAACTTAGGACCTTTATCCTAGTTAATAAAAAAGCCTTAGGTAGACTGTTGTATAAGGCGTAGATTGGTCACAACGAGCATTCCAGCTTTGATTGAAAGAGCCTTGTTTTCTTCAATTGAAGGTGGCGGTCTGTTTGCTACGGAAATCGCGCAGTGGGCTTAATCTGACCAATCAGAGCGGGCTATGCTGTTTACAGCTCAACATAAACTTAGGTAAACTTAGTGTAATTAAGTATAGATATAGAGGATCTTTAACTAAGTATTTTTAGTACCTTAGTTTAACATCAGAAGTCTTCTCACACCGTGAGGAAAGCGTAGATAGGTCACAATAAGCATTCTAGCTTTGATTCCGGGATAAAAGAGCCTTTCAAGCTACCGAAATCGCGCAGTGGGTCCAGTCTGACCAATCAGAGAGAGCTATGCTAGTCACAGCGCAACAACATCAAGGTGGCAAAGGTGGCAAGAAAAGCTGAAGACCTCTTTCCCAAATGACGAAAGCATTTAGATACATCTAGAAGAAATTAGAAGCTCAATAGCGCTTCAGATGAGTTCCCATAACTAAGGTACCTTCTGATCCTCAGCGTCGAATGTCAAAGACATAGCCAACTACTCTTGGCCCTGCTCACCCCGTACATTAGGGTCAACCCTCTCTGCCAATACCCCTAGAGGCACGAGACTTCGGCGTCCTTCAACCTGAACCGGGCTACCTTCTTGGAATGGGTTAACATTCTCGGAAGGCGTGGCAGACGCACCTTTGCCCTCCTTCTGTTCTTTGCCTGGGGACTGGGGGCTTGATCTGTTGGACTGGAATAGATCCTGAAGTCTGCGTACTGAAGGTCGAGCCTCGAGGTTCTCACGTGCCCCCCGCAAGCCAGCTGAGGTCTTCTCACGCATTTCTCTCATGCTTCCCCGAAGGCTATCTCTCAAGCTACGACGACCCGAGGCAAACTGGTAAAAGTCCGATTCAGCAGCTGATGCATCCTGCTGAGATTGAAGAGAAGCTCCGAAGCGTCCCTCCGCTTGGCGTCTTGGACGGATCTGAAGATCAGGTATTGTTGGGCGTGTCATCAATGGTGAAGACGATTTGCTTTGCAAGTCTGCAGGGTCTGCGGGCGTTTCCTGCCAGATAGCTGCGTGAGCGCGTGGGGGGGACAGAGCATCTGGTCCCTTCTTGCCTGTCTCACCAGAAAGCTGTTCTGGTGACGGCATCTTCTGCTTGACACCGAACTGTCCTCTGTCATCCGCCCCATCGTCACTGTCGTCATCGGCAGAGAAAGAATCAACCTCGGCACCACCTTTCATAATAAACAGACAGAGTGACGCCCACTGCAGCTCCACCACATGTCTAAAATCTGGAGCATCCCCTGTATCCATGATGAAGTGGAATTTCTGTCCGGATTTCAATGTTTCTCCGGTATGTAGCCGAAACTCGACATGGCCAGGCTTTCTCGGGATTTCAGTAGGATAATAACTCTCATCCTGGAAAAATCGTTGCAGTTCTCCATTCAGGGCGTCCAAGGAGTTGCTGTCACCAGCTAGTGTGACATCGTCAGGTTCCCGCTCGCGCATGGCTATGAATCGAGGTAGCCAGCGGAAGATCAAAGTTACTCTGACCTTTTTCTTGCTGCCATCACCAGGCTCAGTGACTGCTTCAATGCCATGGTATTGGAATCCCCAATAGGCACGTCCCCACCAATCGTGGAGCGTCTTGTTGAGGCAGATAAGGTTCCAAGCCTTGTCTGACCCCCCCAAGTTACTCGCATTCGCCATCAACGGAGTGTAAGTTCTCCGAAAATCGGCAGATACTAGGGCCTCAGTTGCCGCAAAGAACTTTTTCGTTCTGTTAGTGTTGTCGACCGTTTCGTTCAGCGCGAAAGGGAATATGTGGCAGACATCAGGATCAGCCATTCCCGTGATTACACATGCGTTCCCGTCCCTCTCCTTACACTTCCTTTTTTGAGAGGGAGAACGAGCGATCTTTCTCTTCTGAATACGTTCTTCGACAGAGGTTTGTTCTTTTTGTCCTTGCCCAGATTCGAAAGCGGACGAAGATGCTCCCTGATCACCGTGAATACTCGATTGATACTGGTCATACTGTCTCTCGGCTGGCTTTCCAAGCTTTTGAACAAACAAGTTTGCGAAGTGCCTCATTCTTTCGAATTCCATGATTAAATCGACAGCATCGTTGACTGCAACCCCGTCACGGAAGTCCGGGCATAGCTTTCCCGGATACATCAGGGTCGGTAGCGGAACCACTGCAATGGCCGCGACGTGAAACATTCTCACTTTGAAGTTTGAGTCATGCTTAAGCAGTCTATCTTGTATGCGGAGGCCAATTTCTCGGCGCCGCTCGAACTCCTCTGGCAGCAGAAGTTCTCGGGGGACAGTGAATGGGGCTTCTCGATACTCCACGAGAATATCGGCAAGATGGGATGAAAACTGGTCGGATGCAATGTTGGTATCTATTCGGTCGTGGAACAAGTCGCGTATTGCCTGGACCAGTTCCTCTGTACCTTGGTCCATCCTCGATCAAGAGACGGCGTACGGCGCCTAAGTAATCAAAGATTAGGATCTATCAGGTCTTCGGGTTTTGATTGCCTTACTGCTGGAATGTTGAAATAGGGTTTAGCGCTTTCGCGACTGTTTTGTCGGATATGGGGAGTGAAGGTTGAAAATGACAGGTCAAGTTTATCGATGATTGGGGTGGGGGAGGATATTGACAGAAGCTGTTACCGTCTGGCCAAGGGATATGAAGGTCTTAGAATACCAAACCAGACGTGGTAATGAGATGTAATGTGTGAGTAGGAGCAAGAAATCTTGAGAGGGAGAAGTACGAATTTAAGTAGTTGCAAGGTGGTTACCGAAACGAAAGGCCACAAACAAGAGGCGGTTCCACATCTGAGGTGGCAGGCAGTGCCTAGCACCACCAAACAACTACCTGCCTACCAGTAGCACAGGCTCCCGCTGTTGAGACAGTAGCCCTCCTTCGGGAAGAAAATATCGGACCTACCTTAGACATGGGACATCAAAATTAATAAACTCAGCAAAAGGTATCCTAAACTTCTGCTACGTTGCCTAAGCCTTTTTGTCATCTAGGATCGAGATCTCGAGATTTGCTTCCTCCACAGCCTGACTTTGGACCTATAGATGCATAGATATGTCTTACCTTGAGTGTGGATTTTTGAGTTCTTGTATTGTGGAATCAGACGTGCGTCGATGATTTATAAAATCCATTAAAAGTTTTGGTAACATGAAAGACCAAAATCCAAGTTTGTCCAAACGAATCCATGGAACAGTGAAAGAAGTGTATTCTTGATACGCTGTTGGTCTAGGGCAAACCGCGTGGTATCAATGGCCTATAGAAACTCCTTCTCTGTGCCAAACCGAAGGCCAAATGCCTTCATGATACCAAATACATGCCAGCAGTGCATCCGTTTGATCCCAGCCAAACGACATCTTCAACCCTCCGGGAACGCTGATCCACATTGACTACCTAAGTTGTAGCAAATAAGTGGTGGAGTTGGCCCTCTGCTTCCTCTTTTCTATAGGCATATTGCTCCAGTTTTCGGTTTCTTGTAGCCCGGAATGAGCGTGTCTAATCTACCAGCAGTCTCTGTGAATGCTGCCATATTTTGTTCTGTCGGTAGCTGTGGCGTCTTCGAAACCGGCAGCCGACCAGCAACCGACTTTGCCTCGTGAGCAGCAAAGCTTCTAATCCCCAGCTGGCCTGCCTCTTTTCTTTGTTTTTGTTTTTGTTCTTCTCTGGGCCCTTTCAGGTGCCATGAGGATATTCAAGAGTCTAGTTAAGCTCAGGATGAGATCATAAATTTATGTTGATTGACAATCAGATATCCGACACAATAGGCTGCATTTCATCACAATACCCTGCCTTATATGACCATTCATTCACTTCTCTTTGGGCCAGTTGCCTTCACCTTGAGATTTTATGGAAAGATGCAGCTGCCTCGGCAGATGGTCATCATGGCAGCGACTGGTCGCTAGCCTTCAATAGAACAATGAAGATGCTTCATTCACTGACTTTTATCAGTGCCCACGGCATTCACTCAAAATTTGCCAAGATTATCCAGTATATATAATTATTTTGTGTCTTAGTATATTAGCTTCTTAAAGTGCCAGACCTTGACATTGCTTTCTACAAGAACACCAATATCACTGTCCTGATCATTTCCTTTTACAAATCATGTCTGGGATTTACAACGAGACTCCTCCTAATTCTCTGAAGCCCTGGCAAGTACGGGCCTTGGTGAAAGGCAGAACACCCTTACCAGAAAGCCCTGGTTGTCGACCATGGCTGGAAACTAGCTCGACCCAAGACGTGTCTGGACGTGGACAGCAAGCTCTGGTGACTACAGGATCATTCTCTGCTTCACCTCCTTCAACTCCAGGGGCAGCCCTCCTCGTGTTGGAGGCTGACACGGTAAGTGCCCAGTCGCTTATGACTATACATTCAACTCTGACATAGTGGTGATATGTAGAGCAGCAACCCAGGCTACAAGTTTTGGAACCAAGACGAAATGAAGCGGCTCATCGACCTGAAGAGAGAGGGGAGATCATGGAGAGATATTAGCGTAAGTTATTGTTCGACTTGACCAACCCTCCCACTAAAATACTGACATAACATTTCCCAGTATCATTTTCCTGGACGATCTATCGAAGCGCTCAAACAGGCATATCACAAGAGAAGAGCAATTGCTGAAGAACAGATGCGCCCGGTCGCCAATGACAAGGAAGACCAGCCGGCGGAGTAAAGAAAGGCGTTCAGATGGTAGATCGACACGAAGTTATTCTCATAGCCAGTTTCCTTGTTGCTCTTTGACAAATGTCACACGTTTACGTATTGCCTCCCTGGCCTTTTATATCTTGCGATTCATGCTTTGTTCTTTGTTCATCAAGGGCCCAGAAAGCATGCGTCCTTATCATGTCAGCTGCTCCATGATAAAATATTCACATATATTGTGCTACTTTTTTCGTCTTTCACATGACCAACCTTTCATCCCATTCACCGGTTACACTAACAGTGATGGGAATTGATGTTTCACTACGAGTAGACTACCTTATGCCAGTATGTTGGCCGGGTAAGATACATAATTGTAACCAATAGGCGTAATATTCGTCTTCTCGTTGGGGCTAGATTCTGGTATTATAAAGGTTGTCATGGCCTTGATAATAACCTTTAAGTTAAAAAGCAAGTCATCTAGAGTTCAAACTTATTACTGTAGAACGCCAAAACCGGAGCGCTCCAACAATGAACCGTATGTCTTCCGGCTCCACTTATCACCCACCGAACCTCCCCCACATTGTAGCGACCCTCTGAATACCGCGGGGTACGGTATTGCGCGAACTTCATCCCTCTTAACTTTACAAATCTCCCTTTGTCTTTTTCTTGGACAACTGCGCGACCTATATTATACGTATTCTATTACATTGTTTTGAATATCATTTTTCCCCCTTGTCTCTACTTCTTTGTAAACCGCCACAGCTACCCACCATGGATGACCAATTTGGAGGACGTACCGACGATGATCTCTTCTACGATGACTTTGAACCTGTTGAGAGCGAGACTGTCGTCACCACTGAAGCCGTACCGGAACCCCAGCCTGCATCTGTAGCACCGGTTCAGGAACCAACCGCTCCTCAAGAGAAGCCAGCGCCAGCTCCAGCTCCCGTACCGTCGGGCCCCGTCTCAAAACCTGCTGGCCTCTCTTCGTCACGATACGCCGATAAGCCAGCTCCCCCTAAACCCGCAAAGCAAGTTCCTCAACCAACATCTAACGCGCCTCACAACGCTCCAACGGCTCCTCGCGAAAAGAGCAACCATAGCTCGCAAAATACTGCCGCTAATTCTGCTGCTCGTCTTCAATCTGGCGCAAACCCACGACAGAAGCTTACGGACCAGGAACTCGCTGCCAAGATGGAGAAAATGAAGCTGCTCAACGCAGAGAAGGCGCGCAAGTTTGAGAAGGCCGAAAAGGATGAGAAAGATCATGCTGCGGCGTATGCTCGCGGCATGGAGGAGGCTAAGAAGCGCCGCGCCGAGGAAGCTGAGCGACGAAAACGCGGCGAGGAGGATAAGCGCAGGCTTGATGATGAACGTGCTAAGAACCGAGAACGAAAACTTAAGGCCATGGGTATGAAGGAGGGTGGATGGGATGAGGGCAAGGATGCTCTGGAAGAAGAGGAAAACAGACGTTTCCGTGGCGCGAATGGTGGTATTCGAGGATCAAGAAGCTCCGGTCTTGGTGGAAGTCGGTACGCTTCGAAGGATAATGAAGAACAGGATGTGGATCGCTTCTTGGATGAGCGACATCGTGGTGGAAGGGGTAGAGGTCGTGGCCGTGGAGGACGAGGAGGCCGAGGCGGACGCGGTGGCCATGAAGGCGCACCATCAGCGCCAGTCAAACAAGCCATTCCCGCGGCTGAAGACTTCCCAGCTTTACCCGGTGAGGTCAAGAAGAGCACACTCGCACCAGCGAACGATAAGCCGGCTTTTGCGGCTGCTGCAGCTGGACCTCCACCACCACTGCCACCACCCACTGGTGGAAAGTGGGACGAAGAGATGGATGAGTACGATGAGCTGAACAAGAAGTCATGAACAAACGAAAAGAGATGGGACACTAGGGATAGCTTGACAGTGGAGCTACAAAAACACCATAGGTAGCATTGTTAGAAAGCATCAAAAGTCGAAGCGAGATTGAAAGATTTCTCCTCATTTTCATTTGCCTTTCGCGCTGAGCTGCTTTTCTAGAAAGGGTATTATCCTGCTCTTCGCCAACTCTTTCATTCTTATTTCCCTCTATTTTATACACAGCGCCAAACGCCTGAACATCCCAACAAATAATTACACATTGATTACCATCCTCCACGGTATCCCCTTCCGCCGCGGCCGCTCCTATATCCTGAACCTCGAGGTCCTCGGGGTCCTCCAGGCCCATCGTCATCCATGGGTGCCCTCGATCGGCCCTTCATCTCCTTGGGAAAAGCATCGTAAGTCTTCCTCATCTGCGCATATCCCAGATGCATCTTTCCATAGAAGTGATCGGCGAGACGTCTGTCGTTGTCGAGTCGACTAAGGTAGGCACCACAAACGTCGCAGACTTGCAGCTTCTGGTGGCCTGAGGGACCAGATGTATCGGAGAGGGCTTTGAGTTCCTTTTCGCGGTCGGATTTGGATTGCGAGGCTTGACGGACACGGAAGAGCTCGTCTTGGGCGCGCGATACCTCGCCCATGGAGCCTAGGATTTCAACTTCGAGGAGGCCATTGTTGACGGAAGCTGAAAGGTCGGAAATAGATTTGAGCTACGTAGGTTAATATCTCGCACCGCAAAATAAGGGATAGGGACGTACCAAAACATTGGTCTGGCGAATCTCATCAGGTGTCTTCTCTAATCGTCTCTGCGCAGCATCGATTCGGCGATTACAATCATCGATGTACTTTTGCAGATCGCGCATATAATCGTACTCGAATCCATATTTTTGCTTCTCCCGATCTGATAGGCCATCGTACTCGGCTTTCAATCCTTCATTGTGCACCTTCGGACACGGTCCAATATCCTGCTTTGTGTTTGTGAAGAGATCGTGCGGACAGGTGCCTGCGAGGTAGGATCGACAGACTTTGGGGTCGGTGAGTGATAGTTGAGCGGCTCTTGATGTCGAGGATGCGCCCATCAGCTGCTCGAGCAGCTTTCTCTGTTCAGCGGCCATTGTGAATAAGTCGTTTGAAGATGTTGAAAGTTGGCGGGGCCTTAAGATTCAAGATGCGACGGCATGTGGAGGAACGCGCCGGGAAGCTAACTTTCTGCCGGTGTCCACCGCTTACTTCATCGAATCCTCCACGTCGCAATAGCTCTCCAAGCTACGACACCAAATCGATCTCCCAAGGGCAAAGGTCCCATGTGAAGTCTTGATCGACTTCCTCACTTCCTCACCTTTTTCTTTCAACATGCGCCACTTTTTGGCCTATCTGTTACTGGCCATCACAAATGGCTTCGTGCTCACTCCTGCAGCCGCTTCCGATTATCACGAGCAATTGACGCTTCGACCTTTACCCCTGTCCCAGCTCCTAGCGAGCTTCAACTTCCGAGCCAATACCTCGATTGCCGATTTCGAAGCGCATAACTTTCGACTGTTTCCTCGATCTTTGGCTCAAATTCTTCAGTATGCTGGTACACGAGAGCTACATTTACGATTTACGCTAGGACGATGGGATGCTCAGTCGTGGGGTGCTAGACCGTGGGATGGAACACGCGAGGGAGGCACGGGTGTTGAACTTTGGGCGTGGTTGGATGCCGAGACTGATGAAGAGGCTGATGAGAAGTGGCTAACGCTGACAAACGCTCTGTCGGGATTGTTTTGCGCAAGTTTGAACTTTATCGATGAGACGAGGACGATTCGACCTGTTATGTCTTTCCAGCCCGACGGCGACCATTCGAATTCGTCGCTGACGAACATGAGACTTCTACATGGCGTTTTGCCGCATGAAGTTGTCTGCACGGAGAACCTGACACCTTTCTTGAAGTTGTTGCCATGTAAGGGCAAGGCTGGAATTGCTACACTTCTGGATGGTCATAAGCTATTCGATGCCTCTTATCAGAGCATGGCAATTGATGTTCGACCCAAGTGCAATGCGGATGGAGAGTGCTTTTTGGAGATGGAGGAGACTGTTGATATGGTTCTTGATGTCAATCGATCCAAAAGACCTCAAAGTATGTACCTTGATGCTATTGGATGACCCCTCTAACAATTCTAGACAACCCAATTCCTCGGCCCCCTCCTGCTCACGAGCTGCTCTGCGATACCTCCAAATCCTACCACTCTGACCACGCATGCTACCCTGCCGACAGCCTCGATGGTCAAGATTGGACTCTATCTCAAGTCTTCGGTCGCCCCATGAAGGGTACATGCCCTCTCACCGACCCTGGCGTTCCTCCAGTCTGTGTTCAGATCCCACAGTCCCGCGACATCTACACCACCGAAGGCGCCCGCGAGATCCGATCTCAAAACTCTCGCTGCTATAGTCTTGATACGAACGCCGAGCTCACCCTCATGCTCGTCAAGCCCGAGTCACAAGACGAGGACAAGATCCTTAATAAGCCCGAGACGCCTCTTCTCTACGCTGATCGCAGCTTCAACGGCCACGGCCAGGAACACGGTGGTGTACAGGCCATCTTGAGCAACCCTAGTGACACCGACGTTGAGTTCGTCTACATGGAGTCGCTACCATGGTTCATGCGTATCTATCTTCACTCCCTCTCGGCCCGCATTGCCGATTCACCTTCGTCGAACTCGAGCGATCTGATCAAGGAGATCTACTACCGTCCAGCACTCGATCGCGCAAGAGGTACACAGCTTGAACTCCTCATGCGCATTCCGCCACAATGCACCGTTTTCCTGACATACGATTTCGAAAAATCCATTTTGCGATACACCGAGTATCCTCCTGACGCCAACAGAGGTTTCGACGTCGCCGCCGCTGTTATCACAACATTAGAGCCCAAGGTTCTCAACATTCGCACTACGACACTGCTGCTGTACCTACCCACACCTGATTTCAGTATGCCATACAACGTTATTATCTTTACATCAACGGCGATCGCACTAGCATTTGGAGGATTGTACAATATTTTAGTGAGGAGATTTGTGGGTGCTGACGAGGCGCAGAGCACGGGTTTGAAGGCGAAGCTGTTGGGGCTTGTTAATAGAATAAAGGGCAAGGCTGGGAAGCAATAGATATGATGTATGAGTTATTTTTCTTGGTTACAATGCAAGATGTTAATGTTACCTGCCCTGGCCATCTTCAGCTGGCATGGTCCTGCGATCCGAGTACATGGTCTTGGGGGAGTGGTCACCAATGATGGACAATGCCATTAAGTGTGTTCTCGGTCTTACCGTCTTTGCCACGTCGACCCTGCATTGTCCTTGTCGATGCATCATCGGGCCGCGTCATTAGATCTGGGGAACGTGGACACGAACTTATCGCATCTCTGTTGAGGTTCCAGATGACGAGTTGAGGTGTACATGTGTTCAGGGTCCTGAGGGGAGTCTGGAGGGCTGTCAGTCGTGCTGGCGTCTCTAGAGAGGATATGATCGCCGTTGCCATGGCCTTTGACCTGGAGAAGAGGTCAAATCTGCACGTGGAAGAGAAGACGAAGAGTCGAACACAACATTACTCTGGAGGTCAACAACACAACAACAGAGATTTAAAAAACAAGAATTATTTATGGCATATTCTGAAACATCTCTTCTTCGAGGCATCTCCGCGAGATGTAACCGAGATAAGAAGGCATCAAGTCGAGTAGAAAAGGTTCGAGCCTTCCTCCACTTGTCAATCACCTTCATGTCGTCCAATCTATCCGCATCTGCCAAGACATCCCATGCCCAACATCATCATCTTATAGCACTCAAGCTGCCAGCTTCCGGTATTCCATGTCAACACGTAAATGCGCCTTGCGTAGTTCGCTGCCATGAGACTCCTCGCTCTGTTTCTCCCAATCATCGTCGTGGTGAACGCCTACTACACTCTGTCCGTCTACGCACCTTCGCTCCCCCAGATCCACGCGCGCATCATCAATGCAAGGAATAAAGCCTTCATTATAGGCGCTACAAAGCCCAGTACATTCTGCGGTCTTGAAAACGCCACTGATTGCCCTGATGGCACGTCCACACAAGTCGATGGAAATATGACTGGTCTCGCAGTAAGTCACATGGCCACTCACCAAACCCATGCTCACGACAGTAGGCCGCAGTTCCAGGCGGTCAATTCATCTTCGTCGCCCCCGACGGGATCATATCCTATCCACCCGCACACTCCGCCCTTCGACCCCCGGGCTCACAAATGGGTGGCTTCCAGCGCGCACATATCATCTCGGAGTGCAAGATGCCTGTCACGATACTTATGTGGTCCCCGGAGAATGCAAGTCCGGGACTTTGGGCTTGCCCAACGGCGAGGAATGTCCCAGTCACGAAGGAGGCGGTTCTCAAGGCAACCACAAGCACTTTTTCGGGAAGTGGCTGTTTGACTGTCGAGGGGATTGGGATTCAGACTGCAGGGGATAAGTTCGCTGCCTGGGCTTATACGTAGAAGGTGTTTGGGGGATGTGACAGGCGATTAGTAGCATGATGTGGACGATAGTCAATAGAGAATATTATATCCCCAGTTGACAGCTTTGTTTTCTACTTTGTAACTTTGTCATATGTAGATCTTAAGTCCGTCATTATACTTGGTCATGAATGGCAGCGTGCCCCTCTGCTTGAACTCAGTACGAAACTATCCCCATTGTAAGGCCTTCGAGCCAGCCCCAACTAAGCAGTTGCTTCTTTCAGCACACCCGGTCAATATTACACTCGCTTTTAATTTAAAGATAGAGCTCCCGTGTAAGCGTCAATCTTGCCCGTGCCCGATGAAGTTTATGATAGCATACCTCCGCTGGCCCTGCACCCCGCAACTCTGTGACTGCATGATGTCCAGCTGCCGTGATAGAGCGTCTGACTGGGTAGTGTCTCGCCGAAATCTTACTGTTTTTGGCAAGAAACTTACGTATGATGTCGGAGATGTTTCCCATGTGTGTAAGTGTTTTTCAGTCAAGACGCTGTGCGCTGCTTATATAAGTAATAAAATGACGACACCCCCTCATGGAGCAAGAAAACATCGGAGCTTAATATCAGGTGCTAAAATGAACTTAGCAAAAGGCGTCCTAAACTCATCATAAATATATCCTAAATTTACACCAAGTTACCTAAGTCCCTATATCATTTAGGATCGAGGTCCCGCGGTTTCTTTCCCCCCCTCCTCCCACCAATATCCATCCGGTCACTCCATGTCAATCGAGTCACTTACTGCCAGAATGATTTTATATGACATGGCCCAAACTGCGACACAGACGGCTCATCCTGTATTCGTGGAAGGCTATCAAGTCAACGATGGACTTCTTGAATCTGGCATGATTGGGAAGCTCAAGTAGTCCTACGAATCTGAGTCGATCAAAGACCTAAGCGCCCGCTATGAAAAGGATGGCTATCTCTTCATGAAAGGTCTCCTCCCCCGCTCTGACGTTCTTGATTGACGGGAATCGTATTTCCGTTTCCTCAGTCCGAGTGGTGTTCTACAACCCAATTCAGCTCCCGTTGACGGTATCTTCGACCCTGATAATAAGGGTGTCAACTATCCCAGTATCGGCGCCGGCCCTTTTGATAAAGAGCAGATCAACCCAGGTTCATTCGCGAGCCTTGCAGAGAAAGCTCATACAGAGGACTTTTACCATGAGTTTTCGAGACATTCAGCCTTGATAGATTTCGTTTCGAGGCTGAAAGGCTGGGCGAAGATACAAAGTTACTGCCAAGGTCTTTGTTGAGGAATAATACGCCACACAACAATGCAATTGGAGTGCATTATGATCAATCATTTCTAAAATATGGAGAGCCTACTTCAGTGACAGCCTGGGTCCCGATTGGGGATGTTAGTCTTCAAGGCAGTGGGTTGATATACCTCGAAGGCAGTGAGTCTTCTTCAAAGCATGGATATCCCCAAGCTAACCATCAAAGGTGACACTCTGGGTCGAACATTGGACGATGCATTCAACAAAAAGGCGAGGGAAGGCGGTATGACTGAAAAGGAACGCATCAACGCATTCAACAAGAACATGATGTGTAATGGTTTCTTGGAACTCGGCCCCATCAAATTTCTACAAGACAACGGAGGTGCAAGATGGCTTTTAACAGAGTATGAGGCTGGCGATGTTGTTTTTCACAAGCCACATATGGTGCATACCTTCGGTACTGAGATGAAACTCCGCTAACCTTTTTACAGATCCACGCTTCAATTATCAATAAGGATCCTGGGAACCGAATTCGACTCGGCACGGATTTGAGGTTTGTCGATTCTTACATAGTACGTGATTCCGTACATGGAGGGTCAGACTAACCGTGCTATAGAGACGGTCTGCACCTTTTCGGCTCGATGATGGGTTGTGAAGTGGTGAGTAGAGGCTGTGGGTTCAACTGTTGACGAGATATCAAGACTTCTCGTGAGAAGGGATCAAACAAGTCAGTTGCATAAACACGGAGAGATATCACATGTATCAAGGGCATAAACATAACAATCGTTCTCCATTTTCGTTTTTGGATATCTAAATCGCTACTAAAGTCAAAGACATAACCATTGTCGATTGATACAACTAAAATACAAACATGCTGTTACGCTCGATGCTCGTTAAACCTAAGACTTTGTCAACCACATTCATAATTCGTCAAGGCTACAAGTCAAGACGTACCTCCTGCACCGGCTTCACAGTGACGACCTTTGTCTCGGTCATCTTTCCTCCTCTGTAGCTGTACTGGAAATTCCAGCCACTGCATGCAGCGCCGTGGTTTCCGTACCGATCCACGACGACAATGCCGCTCTTGAGATCGCCGTACTTTCGAATCATGCGGAGAACGGCATCCTCGGCTGCTTCTTTCGGTGAGAGGCCGTTGCGCATTCCCTCGATGGCTTGATAGCATGGGAGGAAGCGAAGCATGATGTCGCCATCACCTGTGGCACCGCAGCCGCCAATGTCGCTGTCGACGTAAGAACCGCTGCCAACGATGGGGCCGTCGCCGACGCGTCCGGGGATCTTGTGGGAGGCGCCGTTTGTTGTTGTTCCTGCAGCCATGGAGCCGTCTTTGTGGATTGTGATGAGAGAGAGGGTGTCGTGGCCGGTTTGTTTATTGGTCTTCATGGTGCTTGCTGTCAGGGTGGCGAGGGGTTTGTACGGGCCGCACGTTGATGCTGGGTTTGGGCTGACGTTGATGCGATAGTTGGGCTGGCACTTCTTGGCCTTCCAGTCCTTGCACAACTTATCCGAGTTTTTGGTAGACAAGCTTGTGGCCTTGAAGCCATTTTGTATGGCAAACTCTGTAGCTTGGTCTCCGACGATGAGAGAATGGGTAGTATGATCAAGAACATGTCGAGCAACAGAAATCGCACTCTTAACGCGACGCAGGGCAGCAACAGCACCAGAATTCATACTCCCACCATCCATGATCATCGCATCAAGTGTAGTTTCACAGTTCTCATCAGGACTTCCTCCAAAGCCTACGCTCCCATCGCACTGCTTGTTCTCACACGTCGTACCTCCAATCTCAACGGCGTCAAGTGCAGAAGCCTTCTTCCCCAGCGCGTTGAAGGCCGCATCCGTAGCGGCGGTGAAGTCGCCACCCCATGTATTAATAACAAGAGGAAGACCAGGAGTATTACCTGCCGCGAGTGTAAATGTTGACAGGGAGAGAACTCCCACGAAGATAGAGAGAGAAGACATTTTGTTGGTGTTGTTCGATGACGGTGGTGAAAATTGGCAGGGAGAGTGGCGTTTCTTATACGACGTTTCGAAACAGACGCATTTGATAAGCGTGGCACGGGCTGTGAACCTTGTAGGACGCTATAACCAATTGTTTCACAGACCGGCACTCGATAGCTAATTCAGCCTGTTTCAATGCAATGTGATAGTAGAGAAGCTGCAGGGATGATTGCTTACGCATGACCAACATGAGACCGTATTTAAACCCCTCATTCCAATCTCACATTCCATTCCAACCTCTCTTTTATTTTTAAACTTGAATCTCTGTGAAATTCACATGCCAAGAGGACAAGATTAACAGGACTTTTGCAGAATAGTTTAATAAATTAAACCCGCTAGCTGCACCATTACAAGCTTATAAAATGGCTGCAGGCGCTAACGTTGACACTGTATCTGAATTCCTCCCTAGGGCTGTTGATGTGTGCCATGCTGTGCGAGGGATACACAGTCTGGGATATACAGATCGCTGTGACACCGACTTTGCTCGCTTGCTCGAGGGATTGACGCATTCGGTGAAGCACGTTGAGGGTGAAGAGGGAGAATACGAGAAAATTCTGATCGGGTTTGCCTGTGTTCAGATTGGTAATGACCTCGTCGTCCACGTCAACCGTGTCTTGAACGCGTTCAGTGATTCAATTGATGTCGCTGGCTTCTGCAAGCTCTGGCCCCTGGACGATGTCAAGGCGCTGAATGCACGGCTCCGTCAAGTGTTGCACCAATGCCAAGACACATTTCCGTCCTCACAGTGAGTTTAGTTGACGTTACTGGTTGCTATCCAGGAGCTAACGGTGCGCTAACGTGTCGTTACTAGTGAACTCTGTCTACCCTTGCTCGCCGATTTACAGCTCACAGGCCGTGAGCTTGAGTCTGACGAGACTGAGACCAAGATTTCAATTGAGCACGCGGAAACAAATGCTCAGAATGATGCTGGCAAGTCTCCCGGGCAGATCCCGATTGGGCCGAGACCCCCGAGGTTAGCTCCCGTCGGCCTCATCAATGACTTCATTCTCGAGAGTCTGTCATACAAAAGTATGCATGATCGCGAAAGTCAAGTCACTGAAGCACACGCCAAGACTCTTGATTGGATCTTTGACAATTCGCCCATCGATCAATCTCTACGTCAGAATTTCAGAGACAGCTTCGTCTCATGGCTTAGCACCACGGAGCTGGGTCCTATCTACTGGATCACTGGAAAGCCCGGTTCTGGCAAATCTACTCTCGTGAGATACCTCTCCCAGCATCCAGTCGCGCTATATCATCTTCGCAAATGGGGCGGGAAGAAGAGAGTCAATACAGCGGGCTTCTTCTTCTGGACCAGTGGATCTCAGCAGCAGAGGTCGCAAACTGGTCTGCTGCGATACCTCCTACATCAGCTGCTGTCTTTTGATTCGGAGCTCACTGAAAAGGCATTTCCTGATCTTTGGAGTCGCCTGCGTCATATGACAACCAAGGAACGAGTCAACTTTGCTCTGGAATGGACTGTCCAAGATTTGCAGGCTGCTTTTCACTGTCTTCTCGATGCGGCCTTGCCTAGCGTGAATATCTGTCTCTTCATCGATGGTCTTGATGAGTTCGATGGCGATCATGTCCAAATAATCGACTTCTTCAAGGACTTGACATCTAGATATGATGGAAAGTCACTCAAACTCTGTCTCTCATCTCGGCCATGGGATGTTTTCGAAAGGGCATTCGGAACGTCTGTCCCAAACACCAAGCTTCAGGACCTGAGCTACGACGATATGTACCGCTATGCAACAGATACACTCAAGGCGGATAGACAGATTCGAAGACTAATGAAGCAGAATCCTGAGTCGACTCACCTGTTAATTACTACGGTGGTTGAACAAGCTAATGGGGTTTTCTTATGGGTCAGGCTCGCAATTGAGCGTATGCTCGTAGCATTTCAGAAGAACTGCGAGTTCGAAGTCCTGGAGAAAACTCTGAAAGAACTTCCAATAGAACTGGATGACCTCTTCGAAAAGCTTCTATTCAAGGATCAGACATCCTCGGAGATCATGCAAACTGCCACTCTGTTCCAGCTCATGCGTGCCAGGGAAATCGTCGCGGACTTTATCATAGATGAGTCCTCCAACTCCCTGACAGTCTGGGAACTCGCTTTTGCGCTTTCTCAAGAGGACGATGTTACTGCTCTCGATCGTGAAGTGATGGAAGTGACGGATGAAGAGATCCAGAGACGCTACGGAACGGCAGTACAGTATATCCAAGCTCGCTTCGCAAGGCTTCTGAACGTCCACATTGCCAAGCCGATGGGCAATATGCGTGTAGCAAAGTTTCAGGACAGGCATGTCAACGTTGCAAATCTCATCGCGACCTGCAAGGTCATCTACATACACCGTACAGTTCGAGACTGGCTCATGGATAGCGGTGCAGGAAAACGTCTCGAAGCACTCCAGTCTGCAGAGTTTGACCCTCATCTCCGACTTCTGAGATCATATGTCCTTCGACTGAAGCATCCTCTCGAAGAAATCGAGCATCATCGCCGTTTGGATGAGTGGTATCCTGATATTGCACTCGCCATGACACACGCACGATATATCACCAACGATTCCCAAAGCCTTCAGCGGAAGTTCTTGAATGAGATGGATAAAAGTCTTTCGTGGCTCTGGCTTGAAAAGCCGTCTGACCCGTACGATCATTGGGCAAAAAGTACATTTGGAGCTTATGAAATCAGAATGAAAGCGCCTCCTATTCATCGCCCTTTTCTGTGTCTTGCTACCAAGTTTGGACTGGCAGATTATGTCTGTCAGGAAGTTGAGGACCTGAGTCGTGAAAAACAAACCATGGAAGAAGAGGAAGAGGACGGGTCTACACCTTTACTTTCCTATGCGACAGAATTTCTCTGCTCTCGTAACAAGACCATCTTCCCCATGTCATCACCCAAGCTCGTTTGTTGGCTTCTGAACAACCCAACATGCATCAATCCAGGTCCCAATCATGAATACAGACATTTCATCACACGTCAGTCAATTACTCCATGGCTGGCTGTTCTTCGTCATCTCCGTGATGCAAAGCGGAGGGGATGGATTGAATACTACGATATCAACCTCGAAGGAACTGCATGTTGGGCCGAGATTGTAAGAGAATTTGTGCAATTTTCGGATGTCAGTGCTGTGATTGTGAAGGATATGTGGGATCCGGAGATGACTGCGTTGGGGGTCTTGGAGATGCTGGAGGAAACGTATGGTTCTGCTGAGGTACAGAGGATCAGGGTATTGATGGAAAAGAAAATGGTTCAGTAAACGTGTAACTCAATATCACTCCTACTTTCCCTGAGAGATGCGTGTCTCTGTTTCCAATATCCATTTCTTTCCCATATAGAAGACAGGAAACCGAAAGGCACTCAATGGTTTCTCAACTCTTCGTTCGAAAACCTCTAGTAGCCTTCCTTCCGGTTGACTTTGTTGATGAAATCGTTTCGTCCCTGGCTCAGCCTCTCAAGGTTCAATCTAAAAATATCCAACAGCCTCGTATAGTAAAATGAGGAAGCAGCACTGATATGTGGCGTGATAGTCACATTCTTCGTACTCCACAGTGGATGCTGATCCGGCAAAGGCTCAGGGTCAGTGACATCAAGCGCCGCACCCTTGATCGTATCCGAATTAAGCGCCTGGATGAGATCATCGGTATTGACGATGGGCCCTCTCGCAATGTTAATCAAGAAAGTCCCCTTCTTACCGAGAATATCAAACTCAGGCTTCGAGATCAACCCCTTGGTCTTGTCGGTCAATGGCACTGAGATGACGAGGATGTCTAGTCCTGAATCGAGAAATCGGTGGATTTCTTCTTTGGATCCGCCGGAGAACCATTTGCTAGGGAATTCACCCTCTGGATCACCGAGGCCAGGAGGCGTGTAGGAGTCATCGCGGCGGGACTCGGGGGTGTTGCGAGGGTGAAGAGTGTAGGCATGGACGTCAAGGCCTAAAGCTTTAGATAGACGAGCTGTTTGACGGCCGATACTTCCGTAGCCCAGAATACCACTTTAACGTGTTAGTTAAGTTCCCTTGTAAAGAAGTATGTGGTGCTAACATTCGCTTGCCAGCTGTGTCTTCAGTATCTTCGGCACCCTGATGAAGACGTTTCCATTTTCCTTCATCTTGAAGCTTCGAGTATTCCTTTACTATCAAACTGTAAGTCAGAGTTTCAGAAAATAGCAATCGTACGCCCTACAGTGAAGTCGATGAGAGAGATAAGTAGTTATGATCCACTCCGCAATTTGAGGTCTATCAATTAGCTATGGTCTGACATCTTGTAAGGCCATCTCACCCATGAACTCCATTAGCGGTCGAGAATGGAATCTTTGTATCCGTAAAGAGGGGATCCTTGATGAGATGGTTGGCACCAGCGCTCGTGAGCTGAATGTATTGCAAATGCGGCGCCTGCTCTGGCTTTGGCAATAAGGTAGCAGTCAGTAAGACGGTAGTATCCTGCCACTCTTCTTCCTTGAAACTAGGATCGAGAGGTGCACCCCATGGCTGAATAAAAGTCTTGATGGTCAAATCAGGGAACTGTTTCTGAATAGCGTCAATGTGAGCCTTGGGTGGTTCAACGGTTGAGAAGATTATGGCCTTGTGGCCCTTGAGAGTTTTATTGTTGCTGATCCTGACGAGCGTCATGGTGAAGTTATTGGTAGTAAAGATATCAATTGGAAGGTTGAGTTGGAGGATTGAACAGAATCATGAGTGAATATTGAGTCTAGGAGATGACAAATAGACATCCATGGTGTTATTGTCGTCAAGGTGGGGCTGATTGACGCCTTGAGATAAGGATGGATCTGAGTGGATTGGTATTGCGATGGGCAGGTTGCATGGTGCCGATGTTGTCATTATAGTCTCAGGAACGAATTGCAGCTCGATTGTATATGGATTTCCAACCTATAGGTTCTCGGTTTCACAACGTTGATTGATTGAGTTTATGAAGTTGACTTGTCTTGAAAACGGCTACCCTGTACTGCCTCGGAAACAATGCCGAAATTTCGCTTCACAGTCTGCTTGGCAAGGGGATGCAATAGAACTTAGGACCTCTATCCTAGGTGACAAAAAGCCTTAGGTAAACTTAGGTAAATTTAGTCAAGTTTTAGAGGATCTTATCTTAGACTAATTATTTTTAGCACATTAGTTTAGCGACAGAAGTCTTCTTACACCCCGAGGCTTGGTTATGATTGAACATTGTTGCGCTCATGCATAAGATCTAAATGCTCATAATATTTTTGTATAAGCTTTGAAGAAAACCTATGCTATCATGTCATGCCAAATTTTCACACTCAAGATTTCGATCGACCGTCCGGTCAATCACCTTGAGTTGCTAGCAATAACATCCATCTTGCCTGATCAACCCTCCAGATTCATGACGATGCCACCATGCTGGGATTCACTAAAATGCTGGCCGAGCCATACTAAGCAATTTTGCCGGAAGAAGCTAAACAATAGGCGTACTCTGCTGCGTTCCAATCAATGGAAATATTTGTCAGTTTCCATTCTCTCAGCCCAGCAAAACTCGGTGGCTGTGCCCACCAAACAGCTCAGCCCTACAGGCAACCTACGCTAATATCATCCACTAACCCTGCAGGACCGTTGGCGGTGGCAGAGACCAGCAGCTGAAAACGCCCCCAATTTCCAGAACCTCGGAACGACTTCACACCGGCAATCCATTCCCAAGAAGGCCAACGAAAGCAGCTGATTCCGCCTTGACGGCAGCCACAAATGCTTGAGATGACTTCAAATACTTACCCCTCCCCCTACCTGAGGTTGAGGTGATCATCATCTATCATTCTACGAAATGCCTCACGACGTGCTACCAGATCCTGCTGCGTTTAATGAAAGCCTTCCCAACCCTCTTCCGCCATACTCAGCCATCGACAATGACGACCTTCTGAACCGAATCGAAGCCACCGAAAGGGTCGAGCTCCCTATCCTCTACTCACCCGCCAGCCGTGCGCCGAACTTCCAGCAACTTGCCTCCAGTGCAGATAGGGAACCGTACCTCGAAGCACACCGACTCGAATGCGACATAGTCAAGGCCTTCTTCTCCGCTATCGAGAATGGCCACGATGATATCGTCGCCGATTTTATAGCTCGTGGGTGGGTGTCGCCCGATACTGCAAGCCAATGGGGCGAGACACCGTTAAATGCTGCTGTGCGCGCGGGCAAGGTTCCCATGGTGAGCCGCCTCGTTGCCCTTGGCGCAAGCGTCAATGGATTCGGTCGCGCCCGGGATGAGAATAGCACCATCGAGCCTGCAGACTTGCCTGAGCGTACGCCGTTGATGGTCGCCGCTGAGCGCGGGCACCTGGCGCTGGTCAAAGTCTTGATCGAAGACTACGGCGCGAAACACGACATCATTGCGCCCGATGGAGCGATCGCCCTTCGTCTAGCCGCCTCGAACCGTCACCGCGAAGTCGTGCATTATCTCCCTACTATTCGTGGCGGCGCGTGGAAGCGATGGGTGACCGTACATAAAAAGCAAATGGACCGAGTGCGACGAGCTGTCAACAGAATCGTCAAGTTCGTCAGAATCCTTATTTGGGATCTCCCCAGGTTTATAGTCTGGGATGTGCCGAAAGAGATATGCCGTGCTGCTTGGGGGTGTCGCCATCGGGTGAAGAACTTCTTGAAGAAGTTACCTGGCAAGGTCAAGGACGCGGTACTCGGGATACCTAGCACCCTCAAACGCGCTGCAACGGAGGTTTGGAATGGCATCAAGGAGCTTCCGTCGCTTTTGAAGAGCTTGGTCCAGGCTACCTTTAAAGTATTTTGGAAGGTTCTGACCGGCATACCTGGCGCAGTAATGTTTGTTCTCAAATGGATCGGAAGCGGTTTGAAGGGCGTCGGCGAAGCCATTCTCAACATTTTCGTTAAGCTGTTCTCGCTCCTTCACACAGCGACCATGGCAGTCGTGACTTTCTTGCGTGGGATCACTCTTGGGGATGTATGGAATGGCTTCTGCCATCTCGTACGCGCCGTCTTCGTGGACGCGCCCAAAGCAATCGTTGCATTTATGGTGGCCTTTGGCAACACCAGTTACAATGTGCTCAAGACAATCTTTGGGACCTTAGGTGAATGTATCTGGTGGCTATGTGCGGGTGTTTACTGGTTGATCCGATATATTCCCCGTCGAATATGGACTATGATTGAAGCGATGGGGACATCTTTGGTGAAGGCCTGGGAGGAAATCATGGTGTACTTCAATCCTAAGCGAATGTGATCAGTTACTTAGGGCTCTAGATTAGAATTAAAGGATATTCACTAAGATTCAATGGAACGACGTTGGCTATCAACACTAGCTAGATGATCGATGATGCAAAGCGTCCCTTTCACAACTTAATAGTGATGATGATCTGGAGACCGGCAGTGGAGCTCCGAATTTTGGGATGCAACAGGGCTTTTTGACAAAATCAACCGCCGCGCGACGCCTCCAGCTTCAACGCTGGCACTGGTATCCCTAATGCGGAAGATTTTATTTCGGGCTTTCTAAAAGTAGTGTCTATCCTTCTATGAGCCCATTGATATCTGCAGGGCCGCGTCATTTCGACACACCCTACGATGCCTACGCGCAAGGATCCCAGCGTTGCAATTGGAGGTCTCACCCGAAAGCCATTCAACTCACATCGCCTATTACACGTTGAAGGAGAAGGATCAATCATTCACTCTCGATATTATGAATTAGACATTGAAACTACGATGATCGACTTTACCCCATCATCTGGCGCCATGACAAAACATAAAACCTTCTCAGGAAACTGAATGCGAGATCATATCATTTTGCGCATCTGCAGCAACACGTTATAATTCCATCGGAGCCACCCTAGACTTCGAGAACGCGGCAATTAGGGACTTCTGCCATATTATTATTTCATTAGTCTATATGTGACCTTTACTATCATTCTTTCGTCAAGGTTCGGCATTTCCTTTCCAGCGTTCCATACCCATATTTCTAGCTTGACCCTGCTCCGGCATAATTAATGGAGTACTATAATTCCGTGTCATCAATCCATCAAGCAATCGGGTGCCACGTTTCTCGCGAATGCATGTCTATACTTGCGCCATATATCGGCTTTGCCTCGAGCTCCTTGCGCTCATCCTCTTAGCCTCAGCGTATTGGCACCGTCTTGAGTCTCTTGCCTCAGCTCTTTCATCATTACCCTCCCAACCCGCCTTGATCAGCCAGAACAAAGCCATCAAAGGTGTCGTAAGCAAACCTAGAACGCCGCCTAGAATCGCCTTGAAAGCCTGTGGTGTCCAGCGGTCTTTGTATCTCCAGTCCCCACCATCACGTTCTCCAACTGTCGTTAGAACCCCCACGCTCAGTGGCCAGAGGATAAAGAAGCCCACGACAGCGAGTATGAAACCTCTCAGGGCCCCTTGCACGAATATCGTAAGTACAGGAGGAACAGTGGATTTTCTTTGAGACTCTTTCTCTTCAACTTCCGAGTCGCTTGTATCGGATGCTGGTGAGAGGAATAATAACCATTGAAGCCACTGATGCGAGGGTTCAGGAACAAAGCCAATCGGCTGAACAGAGCGTTTCGAAAGGTCGTAACTGACGAGTCCCATCTCAACGAACCACGTGAGAATGCATTGGACGATAATTGTTACAGCTGCATCGCCAGATAGTGTGTTTGGCAGTTGAAACAACCGAATTGGGTTCTTGATAGTGTCTTGCGTGGTGTACATGACTATCCATTCTCATTAGCTTTTCATCTCAGACTTCAGCTGTAAACTCACCATAAGCCAAAGCAAAATTCACACCCCCGGATAAAGCCATGGCGCCTATTCCGTCAAGCCCAAAAACATAGAAGAGCTGATGCCCCGTAAACTGCAGACTCGGCTTCAGGCGCCCCTCGATGTCACTGTCATCTCCTCTCTGTTCTCGTTCCTCCTCGCCAAGGTTGTCAGGTTTCAGAATCCCGCTGGACCCCTGCAGACCCGGCCCCTGTGTCTCAAGTTGCGCCGACGTGAGCATATCTTTTCCCTTATCAGAGACGAACTCGTGGAAACTTGTTTGGTTTTGTTCCTATTTTTCCTGTCCTTCGCAGTTTTTGATGCAGGGAAGTGGGAAATTTTGATTAAACGTCGCCAAGCTGTTGAAAGGGGGCTGAGGGAGATTAGGCGGGAAATATGGGAAAGCTTGGACTTTTAGATGGGCGAGAGCGAGAAAAAAAAAGTTAGTTAGCGAAAAAGAGTGAATGCGAATACTAATCCGAGATACTACATTACGACTTGGTTGAGAGACTGGCTCACATGGTACCATCTTACACCGCCATGTCACGGAAGTCACGCGATTCTATGGCGCTTGTTGAGAGTCGGTTGTTGAAGATTATGTGATGTAGGAAAAGCATAAAACTATACTGTTTCCCTAAAAGTTTATCACTGTAGAGTGGACCAACTGTTTGGTGTTTTGGAGGGTTATCGTGAAGCTCTTACGGTTTCATCACAGAATACCACCACGATCGGTTCAATCGGCCCAAGAAGACGGCTTACAACGCACAAGCCGACCTGTCAAAGGCCGTATTGATTGACGCCACCTGAGAATCTGGGTCCTCTCGTCTCCATCGGTTAATAATTAATTCATCCGTTGGTTTAATCTATCCAGCGGTTACTAGATCCATCTTCATTCG